TAGGTTAGTTCGCGTCATGTGTTTGGGCGTGTTTTATGTCTGGAGAATTGAGCAGTTAGCTCTTGGACCCCGCCTTTCTAACCGTCGTTTGTCTAAAACGACGTATATACAAGAAATATATGTAGTAGATATAATAAATATGTGTATGTGTGTAACCATTTGCGTGCCTTTGGTTGTATTAACAGCATTTTTAAAGTGATGTTTGATATAAAACACGGCAAACATAAGCAGTATTACCAAAATATTTGGTCCAGCGTTGCTGTTGTGATGAAATGCGACAAATGACTCCATATTCCCCTAACTCATTTATCCTCCACAGAAAAAAACAACTGATGTACGTCATTATTTATTGAAATCAACTGTACAAAATTTCAGTGTTTTTATATTTTGATTTGAGGGAGATATGTCATATATAGTCTGTCTGCCGCTGTAGCTGACATGATGTAAATTGGTTATAAGTTGAAGTGGTTTTATAGGCAGTAATGAGGTCACACGTATGATATAATAGGTAGCTGACCTATTTATCTTAATTAGCATAGAGCACATCTGGTGAGATTTGAAGGAAGTTAATATTAGGATGAACTTTTAAGCAAAACGATTGTCTATTGTACACAATTCCCAGCACAATCGATTGATTGATAAAGATTAAGTCACCCAAAAGGTGGCACGGGCATGAATAGCCCGTAATCACCAGGACCAAAACACTAACCTAACCTAGTTCTAACCTAACCTAACTGAGGCGTATGTAAAGCAATAACATTGAATACAATATGGCTTCCGGCGACACAGAGCGGAAACTTTGAGGAGAGAGGCTCCAAGGATGGTTATACAGCCACACTTGCTAGTTGGTTTGGTCGTGTATCTTGGCTATGGTTGATGGTGTAGTCAATTGTCCCCCGAGTATTTTGCAACCCGGCCCCGGGCCGTGTTCGTCCGGGCAGCAACCGAGAGGAGAGGGGGTAGAAATAGCCTAAGCTACTCTAAATTTTAAATTTTGCCCCGAGGGGCGAGTTTATTGGGCAGCGCCACTCATCTTGTAAGCTACTCTATCCCTTCCTGATGTATTTTCTTGTCTCAATAAACATACTTTAACTTGAACTTGAGCAGCAACCGTTCCCAAAGGCGCATTCTTCAGTGAACTGGATTGTGTAATTATAAAAAGGAATTTGTTATTTGTACTGTATTACTATTATATATTTTAATTATTGCCTATAGTTAGATCGAGGGTACTTTACCTTTGATAATTATCTTTACAATTATTTGTAATTATAGTATGTGTTTACACAGACATGACTGACCCCGGCTAAGACGAGAAGACATAATTGCTGGGGAATTCTATCTTCCAGTCCACCACCTGCCTCTCAGAGAGGCTACAACAGCAGCAGCAGCAGGTGGCGGTGTGGTGCTGAACGTATACAAAGGGGACCTGAACAAATCCACAAGGGCCGTGACGAGGATTCGAACCTGCGTCCGGGAGCATCCCAGACATGCTGGGAGCATCCCAGCATCTCAGAATCCGTGACGAGGATTCGAATCCTCGTCATGGCCCTTGTGGATTTGTTCATTTGATGCATCACGTTATACAATACAATACAATACAATACAATTTTATTTAGGTAAGGTACATACATACAATAAATATTTACAAGGATTGTTTGACTTATAGGTATAGCTAGTACATACAATGCCTAAAGCCACTATTACGCAAAGCGTTTCGGGCATGATAAACTTAAATGACAAGCTTAATACTAATTGAGCATAATGAGTAGAATGAAAACAAGAAATGAAAACATAGATGAAAAAGCAGCACAAATACAATTATGTCGACAAACAGCGCTCTTTAAAGAAAAAAACAGACATTGGTTGACAATAGAAGGGTAAGGTAGGTTACAGGGAATTTATTAGGTATAGCTTCGCTTTTAACTTAAACTGGTTGAGAGAGGTACAGTCTTTAACATGGTTGGGAAGGTCATTCCACATTCTGGGCCCCTTGATTTGTAGAGCATTTCTAGTTTGATTAAGTCGTACTCTAGGAATATCAAAACTGCATTTATTTCTGGTGTGATGCTCATGGGTTCTGATACAACCTTCTATGAAGCTTTTGAGATCAGGATTGGCATTATAGTTTAGCGTTTTATATATGTATAATACACATGAGAGAATGTGCAGTGACTTAATGTCTAACATATTCAGAGATTTAAGTAGGGGTACCGAGTGGTGTCTGGGGCCAGAATTGGATATTGTCCTAATAGCAGCTTTGTGTTGAGTAATTAGAGGACGTAAGTGATTTTGGGTAGTAGAGCCCCAAGCACAAATACCATAGTTAGTGTGATCTCTGTGTGTAAAGGGGACCTGACTTCCAGCAATGAGGAATTAACCAACACGGGATCCTTTAGAATGTTTATAGTACAATGTACTTGCTCGACATGGTAACACACTGACAGTGGGAGTATGCTAGAGGGCAGACACAGCAGAGGAAGTTACAGATGAGCATGATGTGATAAATGCTGCAGCTGAAGCCCCAAGCTCTTATAATGGGGAACTTTAACCACGAGACAATAGACTGTGAATCTAACATTACAAGCGGAGGGAGAACAATTTCTAGACCTGATACAGAGACTGCTTTCTCGTACATGTGACAGAGCCTATCTGAAGTAACAACATTCTTGGTCTTGTGTTAACATCAGGAGAGGGCATGATCGATCACATCCAGGTAGGGAAGCTCATCCTTTCATGTTACCACAATATTCTAAGATGGATTACAATTCTAGAAACCCATATAAAGGTCCAGAACGATGACTTTCTACCTATCTTCGAGGAAAGTGATAGAATGAGACAGGAATTGCAAAATTCATTCTGGATGGAGTAATAGATTAAGGCATGGGAGCATTAAGGAGAAATTTCAAAAAGGTCATCACTAAACTTGTTAAAAAAAAATAAGAACCAAGGAGAGAAAAACATAAAAGAACTAAATGGATGACAAGGGCAGTAAAAAGAGCTTTACCACCAAAGCAAAAGCAAGACATATGTGGAGAGCCTAGTGTTACAATTGATATGTTTGTCCTGCACACCGCCCCCCTATCCAGTGGGCAGCGTTGGATAGGTTACAGTCACTCAGTTACTACCTACAGTTAGCAAACTGGGGATATTTGGCTAAGCAAAACCACTGAAAGAAGTGTCATTTCACCAGGAAACACATAGACTATGTGATTCGAAGCCGAAGACTATGTAGCACTATATACATAACGAGTGTACGAAGCACTGTTCCCGTGCTAAATAGACCGTTTTCCGCCATGAACCACGTGTACGAGGATGAGGTATTGTTTTGAGAACAGGAGCAAGACATAGTTTAAAGTCTTCGACACTAAGATCATCTCAGTTCGAATTAAGTCTTGACAGTTCATATGGAACGAGTTCCATATGAACTGGAAAATAGTTCCTTCAAAATAGTTCTATTATGGACAAAATAGCAGTCCAGATCACTGGACAATTTAAGAGCCCGCAAGAAGTTGGTAAGAGAAACTCATTATATCATCACTGTCTATGTGTCGTGTGAGCTGTTGGTGTGTGTGAAGCATGCTGGTCTTCTGCTATTATACTCTAGAAACATTCTGGAGTTCGCGGCAATGAATTCGCGTGGCGCAAATCCTCAACGACCGCGAATAAAATTAACTTTATAATCAAGAAAGCGTTTGATACGCTTTTCTTTGACCACCGCAAGGAGTCTTGGAGAGAAGCGGGTGTATAATTTTGTGCTTAAATGAAACTCAGAGATAAGGGAAGGAGGGAAAAAGGAAGGGAATACGGGATAGATGGAGAAAAAGAGAGCCAAAAAGAAGAAATCAACAAGGAAGAGGATGATAATTAGGGAAATAGGAAATTAAAGAGAATTAGAGGGCTATAGAAACAATGATATTATTGTTGATAATACTCTATACCTATTATGACGCATGTTTTATTCCTAACTTGTACAACTACACATGACTTTGTCTAAATCTGAAAACATATGCATAGAGGGCAGCACAAATCGTCCAACAGACAGTGCGATACATTGGTTGCCAGGATCAGGCTAGGCTACCGTTTCCAGTAGCAGCAGGTGGCTAAGAGACAAATTTCCCTATGCTTTCCACCTCAGGTGTAAATTCTGTGAGTAGGAACTGGGTGTTGATCTCACACACTACATTAATCAGTGCACTGCTCACACTGCACAGTCCAGTAGAATCAACGCAACAAGATTTTAAAAATAAATCCTGCTTTACAAACCTGCTCACAATTTTGGAAACGGTAACCAGCTATTTAGACAAAGGATTCCAGTGGACATAGACCTCAATAAAGCTTTTGATATGCATAATGGAGCAGTTCGACTGTAACATGACGTTTAACATAACAATTAAGACAAAGTAAGTAAGGAAAGAAATGACTTCATGTAATGTATAGGCTAGGACTAGGCTATTTGAATAGGCTATAGAATAGGCTATTTGACCTGGGTTCGTATCCTGGTCGGGGAGGATTGACTGGGAGCCAATCCTAAACTACGCCTCTGTTCACCCATCAGTGAATGGGTACCTGGTTGTTAAACGATTTGGCGGGTCGTATTCCAGAGAAAATTAGAATTAAGGACCTGGCCGAAACGTTGTGCGTGCTAGTGGCTTTACAACCATGTTAGAACTCTTGTATATAAATAAATAAATAAATAAAATATGTAAACCTCGGCCTCGTTCCCGCCCTCTACAACATCTCCCGTGAAGCGTCAGTGGTTAAGAATAATTAAATCATTGTTCAATTATTATTAATAAACTAAACTATTATAATAAACTAAATTATTATTATTATTATTTTCTTAATTGTATGACTGAGTAAATCTAGGAGTCACATTTCGGTATAAAATTTAGTATATTTCCAAGTTCAGTTATATGCAATCACGTTCAACATTCATTACCTGTAATACTGTATGCAAATATTTCATTTATCTGTAATTTTGTACATGCTTCAACCAAAAGGTTCCTGTGTACGAAATGTTTAAAAAGGTGTTTGTTAGTATACGAACTGACGGTGCAGGAAAACAACAAACACAGGTGTACGAAGTGCCCCACGAGGCGGACCTCCATGTGGCCGGGTGTGTCTCCTCCTCCAACATGGACGTGTACACCAACATATGCTCCAGGCTCCACGCCCCCCACGTCTCCTCCAGCGCCACCCTCCTCGCTGAGGCTGTCCACAATACCGGACTCTTCCAGAATGAGGTACTGACGAGTGTGTGGGGTCCCGTAGCCTAGTGGTCTACGTCCTCTACTCGCACAACTGGGGGTATCCAGGGCACAGGACTTAAAAGGGTTTTATCTGAATGTATGTGACATGTTTAGTTCACCTGATGCCTCTCGTCACCTAGTAATAAATACGTACAAGGGGGGTTAAGCAGAGTGTCGTGGGTTTCAACTTAGAAGTGGCCTCAGTAAGTTTAATGTACAGGGTTCCAGTACCGACAACGGGAATATATAATGTTGACCAGGTAGGAGACCGTTTTATTCTGGGATAATCGCAATATTATTTTTAAAACCATTGATAAAGCAGGATTCTAGAATTTGTGGTCCCTGCACCACCCTGTGGTGCAGTGGTAAGACACTCGTCTGGCACTTCGCGAGCGATTTGGTCTGGGTTCGTATCCTGGCCGAGGTGGATTGACTGGGCGCCAATCTTTAACTGTAGCCTCTTTTCACCCAGCAAAGAATAAATACGTACATGGTTCTTAAACAATTTGGCGGGATCGTATTTCGGGGGAAAATTACGATTAAGGACCTGCCCGAAACGCTATGCATGCTGGTGACTTGACAATAAAGTAATAACTTGTATATATAAATAAAAAACAAAGTGGCAGTTTGATGATTGGTGTTTCTTTGAGCATTGTTAGACAACGGACTGTATCAGAAAAAAATATAGTTCTGTACAGTATGTAAAGAATTATCAGTATATCGAACTCTTGGCCAGCATAAGGAGTGTGGGCGTGTGTCATACTGACCGGCGATATTGTTACCCTTTCTCGGGTTGACTACTTCCTGTTCTTTGAGATATATACAAGAGTTGTTACATTCGTGTACAGCCACTAGTACGCGTAGCGTTTTGGGCAGGTCCCTGGAATACGATACCCGCCACGAAGAATCGTTTTTTCATCCAAGTACACATTTTACTGTTGAGTTAAACAGAGGCTACAGTTAAGGAATTGCGCCCAGTAAATCCTCCCCAGCCAGGATACGAACCCATGACATAGCGCTCGCGGAACACCAGGCGAGTGTCTTACCACTACACCACGGAGACTGTTCTTGTCTGAAGCATCTAAAACTTGCACTGATGTTACAACTGTGACATTATGTAGTAATGTCACATACCTTGTCCTCACTGTAAAATGCAAAATTTTATATATTTGTTTTATTTGAGTAGTTAGATTTGTAGCAATTGTTTATTTGAGTAATTAGATTTGTAGCAATTGTTTATTTGAGTAATTAGATTTGTTTTAAAGAGTATCAATGATGTAGTTGTTTCAAACTTGGGTCAGAGAGACTACTCAAGAAGCGCAACTCTGTGGGTCGGTATCCAGCACTCCTGCATTCCTTAGCTTAGGTAAAGGTTTATTATTCAGACAATTCTCATTGTTATTTATCATGTGACTCATTATGTATTATGTTTCTCATTATTAGCTCATGTGCCTCTGTAATCTTTTCCACCACTGCCCATGGGATGGGTGTGTGGTTCGTAATAAATTAACTTCACTAAAATACTAGTTTTTACAAAAATTGTACTGAATAACTATGTAAAGGAATTTCCCTTTGGTGTACAAAATCCCTAAGTGACAAAAATATTTTCTGGTCATAGCCGTGTACAATTTTTCTGGCTAACCCCACAGCTTACTTTGTGATGGTATATCCCAAGAGGTTAGTTCCCTGTGGGCCAATATCATTTATAGTTGGTGAAACTTTGCATAATATAGGTCAGTTTCTTGTATACAAAATTTCTCGTGCACGAGTCTGTAACGTGTAGTGCATTCGGCTCATTATTGAATCATACCGAGTTTGATTTCTGGGCATGTCAAAGTGTTGAACACATTTCTTTCCGCCAAGTGCCCATGTTTACCTAGCAGTAAATAAGCTCCTGGGAGTTATTCAACTGTAATGTTGGTGTAGTTGATTGAGGGGCAATGACGATCTTGGTGCTGAAGGCGAATCGTTGACCTCAACAATGGTAAACTGCTGTACCATGCAAGCAGACTTTCTGTTAATTATAATTCATACTTAATTATAATTTGTATTTAATATTATGCTAAGTAGTCTTCACAGTTTGATACTTTCTCGTGATAATTACTTATTTACTTTCTATTAAATATTTTTACTTATCAGAATTCACTGTATTTACAATGGCCCCTTACAATTAGCATCAGTTTCCTAAATTTATGGTCTTGTTTAATTAAATGAAAGTTATGGTATACTGTACACTTAATTATAAAGTTATGGTATGTTAGTCTAGTGTCATGTGAGATTAGGAGCCAGTTGGAAAAGGGGCAACTTGGTGTTAAACTATATACATTTCAGCTCTTGTGTGAAGCAGTGATCTGACACATCATGTTTCTTTTACAGATTCCTCATCTTTTGGATGCTCATGTGGGTGATGTAAATACTTTACTAAACAATGGAAAAACCAGGTGAGTTGAATTGGACTCGGTCCTTTCTCAAAATATCACTAGATAAAATTTTTGGCATGCACATTACAATTTTTGCAGTAGTCAAAAGTAGTCAAATTAAATTTTTGAAATGCTTTTGTGGGAGATAGTTCATCTAATAAAAAATAGATCTTTGCAAAATTGTCCAAATAGTCTGAACAATGAACACTTTACTGTACTAAGCCCAAGGATTGGGGTTCTGTACTATGTGGATACAGACCATTGTACCACTTTTTGGATACAGGTTTAGACCTATGGGTTACTGCACTGCAGTATTTGGGTACAGGATAAAGATGGCGCATTAAAACACTCCCTGAACCATTGCAGTTTTTCCATGGTGCTGTATTCAAATAGTATAGTGGTGTACATACCAGTTTCAGTGGTAAAGGTCAGGATACAGTTTAGGAGAGGACAGATTGGGACCTTCACATACTTGTTTTAAAATCGGGAAACTATTATATGAAGCAGATTTATCTTGCTGTTGTTAAAGACCTATTTAGATTATGTATAATAATTGGATAAGCTTATATTCTGAAAATACCTTATACTGGCTCCAACTATTTCTTATAACATTGAGTCCATGTACAAAATCCATCAAAAATGCGATTAGAGTCGTGTTAAGAGTTTCTGTTCATTAGTTCACTGATTGTGTGTGTGTGTGTTTGTTTCAGGGAAGATGGGGTGAAGCTTTTACTTGCCTTGGTGAATCAGTGTCCCCGACGTCTGCTGGCCACACAAGGGGAGAGATGGTTCCGCTTTTCTGGTCAGGTTAGTACAGCATTGTAGTACAGTCCTGTACAATGTATTCCCTCTCTAATGGACCAATACACCAGAGTCCTTCCATAGTAACTGAAGTTTTTTTATACCAATCTATTTTTTATTAGCACAGTATATGTTTAATTTTAAATAGACTATCAGCTATCAGTTCCTGCTGTGAATACAATACTAAGAAGTAATTGTTCGCTTATAGGTTGTGAGCTCGGTTCATGGTGCAAGAGCAAAGACTAATGCCTGTCAGGTTATGACCATCATCCTCAAGAGCCTGCCCTATATCCCTGAGCTACAGAGGTCTGTGCTCTCTAAGCCAGCAGCTCCTCTGGTGCTGGTGTTGGCTGCTGCGGATTCCTTGGTAAATACAATTAATACATGCTATTAATGTATTTCAAATTCTGTGCTTATTTTTTGTTACTGTTGTTCATTTTAATGTGGCAAATAATAATCTAATTTTTAATGTATCCTGCAATGTCATCACTGTTTTATCTTTTTTACTAAAGCTCCACTGGTTTACAATACTGTAGTTAGAAACAATAAATCTAGGTTTTTATGGACTAGGTAGCTGGTGTGAGTGATATTGTTCATATCACTGAGACAATCGCCAAGTCTGCATGTGTCGGCATTTGATGACCCAAGAGCAGCAGAAACTAGCCTTTTCATTTCTTTGTATAAAATAACTCGTATTTGTTATCTACAGTTTTATCATTGCAGGTTACACAAAACTTTAGACTGACAGTATACAACTAGTAATGAATATATATATTTTGCTGGTGATAGACTGGGCCCAGATTAACGAAGCAGTTATGCAAATACTTACGAACGTGTACATCTTTCCTTAATCCTTGACGGCTTTGGTTACATTTATTAAACAGTTTACAAGCATGAAGATTTTCCAATCAACTGTTGTTATTGTTATAAACAGCCACCTGGTGCTTCGGAGCTCATTAACTGTTTAATAATTGTAAACAAAGTCGCCAAAGATTGAGGAAAGATGGACAGGTTCGTAAGTGCTAGCGTAACTGCTTCGTGAATCTGGTTCCAGGTTTACAGCATTATGAACCCAGTATTGCAAGTTGAGCATTTGAAATAATAAATCCGTCACACTTTCAGTTAATACTGTACAGTACTTGATTAAATATAATTTCATTTACAGTGGAATTGTGCAGCACTGGAGTGTTTATATGAATATCTAAAGCTGAACCCTGGTCAGTGCTTACCTCACAAGGTAAATATGCCTTCCGGTCTTTTGCTTGTGAAGAGTTGTTTGCCTGCACATGACATGTCCAACTAAGAATTAATTAGGTATCCACAATAAGGACAATACTGTAAATGATTTCCATAGTTGTTATTATTTTTAAATTGCCTTTATTTGTAAATGCCTTTGCACATTGATTTCAAATTTTCAGTTTGGGTAATCAAAACTTTGGTCTCCTGTTAGCAGAGCTGGTACTGTGATTTGTGGCTTAAATTATATTATTTAGGTTACTTTTTAAAGTGAGATTGTCATTAATTTATGCAAGTCAAAGTTCTATTTATTGTTGAGAAGTGACTAGAGTGTGAATGAGAAATGTGCTTACTTTGCTGTTTACAAGGGGCTATATGTAGCTCTAGGGCCCCACCTTGGTTATTGTTCTGGGAACTTTTATACCTGATATAAGTGGTTAGGGTGTGTTTAAATATACAGTGAGTGTAAGTGTAGAAGTATAGTGACTGTGCATGTGGTGAGTGTGTGATGTGTGCGACATTTGTTCAGTAAGCTAAGGTTACGGTATTCTTTCTAAACTTGATTGTGTGCTGGTGTTATTAAAGAAAAAAAAATTATTATTTATTAAAGAAAATGGATTTTTCTAGGTATGTATTTGTAATGTAACCTCACCAGGTTTAATATAGGCTTTACAGGAACGTACTCCCTGTACATAGCGAGGGATGCATGTGCAATTCACACTCAGCCTGCCTTTCTACCCCCCCCCCCCCCCTGCAAGCTTGAGTCAGGATAAAATGTGAAGTGGCTCAATAAGATCGACCATGTTGTGGTTCAGGTGGTGGGAGAAGTTGGCTTTATGACAAGCGAACCAGGGCTTGTAAAATGTTTCTGAGTACATGATTTGAACTTTCTACAGTTCACTTTAATTATATGTTTAATAAGTTTGCATTTTATTTAGATGGCTCTCGAGGAGCATGTCATTAGGTACTTGGACAGCCCTCTGACAAGAGTGGGCCAGAGGGATGCAGTGTTCTTGGCAGGGCAAGTGTTTGCTGCGTTGCCACTACCGGGTGTGGGCGGCAGCGGAAGTCAGGGACGGGCCGAGGCCAGGGGTCGGCAGCTTGCCCACCTCTTGGCTCTCTCCCACAGTCTCATGGATTACCTCTTCGATGGAATTGTAGAGAAAGAGGTGAAAGATTTTTAACCTTTTTGGTGGTGATATTGTATTCATAAAAGATTACATTTTGCAAATTATATCTACTGTATACACTATTGTAAAAAAAAATTCTTTAGTTTTTTGTTCACACACAGTAAAAAGTATTGAAATTAAATTTAATAAATATATTTATTATATAAAGAGAAAATTAATAGCTGTTATTTGTGGCAGTACGAGTAATTCTGTTGGTGTGGAGATTAACTTTTGATTGTATATTCTTTAGGCAGCTTCTGAAAATGTCAAGAATTAATGATTAAATATAATAAATTTCATGTTTATATGAAGTCATTTGAAAGTTTTTTCTTTTAGAAATGGATTCTTATAACCTCATGTTTAATAACTTGTATATATGTATGTATGTATCGCTAAAAACTCAAAATGACTAGACCAGGATTCGAACCTATGATGTTCAGGATCACCCCAAACGTACACAGTACTAGTACCGTGACCACTACACCAGACAATCAATGACGCGGAGGTTACGGAACTGTGTACGTTTGTGGATGATCCTGTACGTTATGGGTTCGAATCCTGGTCGGGTCATTTAGAGTTCTTGGTGATCTATGGCTTGTGTGTTCCTGCAGCCTTTGTCATATATAATGTATGTGTATATGTATATGTATATTTATTTATTTATTTATTTATTTTATTTCTAGAACTATGAACACACAAGAGAGTACAGCTTACACCTCGCACCTCTGGAATCACCAGGAGAAATCAACACAGATCCTCTCAAAACACATTTGGCTGCCGTGACTCGACTTGTGAATTCTTTAAAGTTTATTGCGGAGATGATCACTTCAGATGCTAATGAGTCCGTAACAGTTGTTCCTCTTGACCTGTTGGGTGTAATTTTCAGGTTGCTGCAGGTAACAGATACTTTTTGTTGTTGTTGCATGAGTAATGGAGTGTGGCATATAGAGGGCAGGCTAATGTAAATACTAGGGTCATGCAGAGGGTGTGCGGTTGATGCAGAGGGTGTAGGGTTGACACACGGGGAACATATTTAAGAATACTGTAGTTAAAGTTGAAAAGTCTTCCAAGGCATAACATATTTATAAAAAATTTGCTTTGAGATCATTTTTTAATTTGTTATTATTCTTTTAAGGATTGTAGTAGCATTAAATGATTGTAGCAAAAAAATAATGACATTATTGTAGTAACAAGCATAATTACTTTGTAGATATTAAGTTACTATAGATATTATAGTAACCAAGCTGGTATACCGTTGCAGGTGGATCTTCCATCGCTGGCCAAATACCGAAGTCAAGAGCACAAGCTGCTAGCCTTTCTAGTACCATCTCTACACCAACACTGCTTGCTGCTGCTCAGGGATGTGTTGTTAAGGTCAGTTCCTAGTATTTAATCATATTTCATAAAAGACTTGCAGTATAATTAATTTTGTCTCTTCAACCAGTTACCAAATTATAACAGTTGAATTCCTTTTCTGACTAGCATCGGTGAAAGTGTTGACATGTACTTTGGAGTGATTGCTGATCATCTTCTCTCTACCATAAAGACAACCGTAATACCCAACCAACCAGGATGGGGTACAAGTGGTCAACAGATGAGGATCATGGCATATTCTCTCATGTCTACCGTTATACAAGTGTCTAGCGGTAGACATAAGCCAGACCCTCAGTTGATCAGTGTGGTCCTTCAAGATGTGACGCCCAAGAGCCAGACGGTTACATTACAGGTCGGTGTTGATTTATTGTTATTGTTATTTGTTGTTACACACACAGGTGGGTACAGGAGCAGACAACTTCTGACCCCTGTTAGCATGGTTGAAAGCTTTCCCTTCCTATAGCCCATGGATATATGGTTTTTCTTCAGGCATTGTTTTCTTACAGAGCAAGCAGAAAAAAGGCCTGAGTTCCCTGATGTTATCCAAGAAGAAGAGTAAGAAGAAGGGGTACACAGTGACCGTTGCAGACTCCGTCAGCCAAGCAGGGCTCCTGCCTCGTATTGAATGCTTCTCTCGTGCAGCTCGAGTTGGGCTCAGCCTAATTGAAACTTTGTTCACTTATGCTAGTCATTCTATGACGCTGAAAACTCAGCAGGTAAGTTTTGATTGGTTTAACAATTTGTGTGTCCTGTATATCAATGATATTGTTTACTATTGTTGAGGCTAATAAGTTTTAGAAGCTTTATAATATTGAATTTCACACCAACAATAAACTTAGTATAGTGGCAATCCTTTTATACTTATGCTACTTCTACCATATGATTGATGAAATAAACACAACACGATTAGAGTCCTTGCACCTTTATTTAAAGGCATTAGGGAGATAAAAGCTGTAATTTTATTAGGTAAAACAATATTGACTACCAATGACTACCTTGACTATCAACTTGGTAGTCAAGGCAAGACCACCAACACATTCCATTGATCAATTTCTGAAAAACAAATTTTTTGTATCACATAATGTGTTGCATAAAACTAAAAAAACTCAAATTCTTCAAATATAAATATGTAATATTTACAGTATGTATTAAAGTTTGCCTTGTAAACATTTTGTAGGATTTCTTTGCTCCATCTTGCCCTAAACCCTTATTCTCGTACCCCCTTCCAAGCGGTAATGGCTTAGCGCTCTTTCCTCATTATTACTTCTGCACAAAGGATTATTGTTGTGTAGGGTATCAGAAAATATGATTAGATGGCAGTGTTTACACTGATGGAAAATCTATGTGTAGCCATTTTTCATAAGGTACAGAGTAATAAATAAATACTTAAAATAAAATTATATTTATTTTCATCCTTGAAATGTGTCCTGTTATTAACTACAGTATATATATATATATATATATATGAGCATTCTCTCCCTCCTTCCCCCCAGTCACTTCAGACAAGTGTGATGGCTGTGACTGCGACTGTGGCAGGAGCCACTAGAATACCTGTTATTTATGAGGATGGTAAAACTAGAGCGCAGCTGTTTAAAACTCTGGCCAGTATAGCAACTGTGCCTCACCCAGGATGTCCTCCGCCATACACTGTAATCCTCCACCTTCTTCAGAAGGGACAAAACGACCCGGATACGTTGGTACGAAACTTTCTTTGTCAAATGTTGTCTTTTTCAAATTAGGGAATTTTATTCATAAATGTTTGTACATTTAGTTGTGGTTTTTACACAAATTTACAGTAAATTATTTACCTAAGAGGAAGTCGTAATAGTTGCGTAAATTGTAATCACTATAATTATATACGGTATATACACAAAGAAATCATACTAATGTGATGTATATGAATAAAAAAATCATTTGGAGCACCGAGGTGACTGGAACCAGTGATCAGGATGCTCCCGGGCTGTGCAACCTATTACCGTGTCGTGGTACAGGGATAAGTGCACAGCTGGCAGTACCCTGATTACTAGTTCGAATCACCTCGACTCCTCTTGATTATACACTGTATAATCAAGAGGTAACTGCAGAAGGCCTATTAGCCTATATCCACCCAAACTTATTTGGGTGGATACTTGATTATACACTGTATAATCAAAATTTAGAAGCTACATTTATGAGTAACATAAATAAAATCTTTATAGTTTTCAAATTCGGGAACTTTATTCATAACTATTTATGCAAATCATTACAAAAATGGCTGTACTAATTAGGTGTACAGGAGTTTAAATCAAATTTACGTTTTTGCTTTTGATGATTGCGAAGTTGATTGCTTTCTCGGACCCGTTTAATTGTGCGTCATTAGAATGCATACGTACACCTTCTGTGTAGGTACCCTCATTTCCACTTGCCTGTAAACCAGAATAGGCAGGAATTGATTATCTAATAGGCTGTGATTCATACATCAGACATGAGCAGCTGCATCCAACAGCTTGGTTGAAAAAGCTGGGAAAAGTTAGATGTTTATCAGTATGGATATGGAGGGATACCAGAAACTCCCTCACCACCAACTTTACCTTGTCCAGTCTCTGTATAACCAGTTCTTGCTCTGTTGGACTTCTGGAAAAAAGTATTAGTCCAGTTAAGTAGAGTTCCACGGCATCATGCTCTAGCCTCGAGAAGTCTCGGTTATCTTATGTTTTGAGCACTGTTTGGGATTATGTATATTCTTTCTTTAAAGCATTCTCCAGGCCGTCTACTTCATTATATATTGTATTTGTCATGGGAGTAATTATCTTATGACAAAGGTGTCAGAAAAAGTGAATTATGAAGGACTTTGAAATGCAAAACTTCCATACAGTCTTAAACTGCAATCTGTATTTGAAGAATAAATTCTAGTTTCATATGCTCCTGCATTTGCAGCTACTCTTGTTATATAGGTTTTAGTGTTTGTTTTGGCAGTAACTTGTATACAAGGGTTACAAATTACATTTTTAGACATAGGCATGTTTGTTTATTTTGCATAAAAATTGATTACCCACACAGGTGGTGTCAACGTGCCAAGCTGCATTAGGAGGCATGAGTTTCATCATGGCTAACCCACAGGTGTGCTCTTTAGAGCACAGCTCGCACCACCACCCACATAATGGTACTGGTAATGGTATGTATACATCGTTGTCATTGTGCTGGGGAGAAATGGTAGGGGCTGATCCATTATGGTCTTGACTCTTGAGTACCCTTGAGTTACAGGGCAGTGCCGATAGTGGAGTATCATTATCGAGAACACTGCACACAACAGCAATATTTAATTTGATGAGGTGGGCAGCACATCAACTTGCCCAGAGCTTGTCGGGGAACCAGTCAGAGATCACCTCAGCTGCCAGCCACCCCATAACCACAGATGATCACTATGCTTTTGTGGATTTTTCTTGTTACTTTGCAAATTATTTGACACAAAATTATGCAAGTACTATATATAATTTTGTCAACTACATAGTGATGATTTGCAAACTAATCCATATTTTGTGATAATAAATAAGGAATGGCTTATAAACTTATTTTGCAACACACAAACTATCATACATGCACCATTTTTTTATTAATTTCCAAGCATTTTGACAGAATTTATAATTTAATTTTAATAAATAACAGCATGTAAATACAGTAGTAAAATAAACACTTCATGCTTCGCTGATCGGGGCCCCAAGAGCCAGGTGGTTCACTCGGGTGCACGGGGAGGGGCTCAACCACTGACTTGTTAATAAACTGAGTAATGAAAGAATATTTATACATGTATATATAATATAATATTATATATATAATATATATTATATATATAATATAATATTAATTAATTACTTTTTTTTATCTTGTCAGTGGTTGATTTATTATTAAATCAAACACTACAGTATTTATAAATATTCCAGATGTTGGTGAAGAAGATGAATTAATAAATTCAATAGAAGAAGAGCCAGTTGAAGTCAATAATAAAAATACAATAGAGAAGCCAGAAAAAGAAACAGGAGAGGAAGAGGAGGAGAAGAATGAGACAGAAGATGAGAAAGATGAGACAGAAGAGGAGAAAGATGAAGCAAATATTAGTGAAGATATTGAAGTTGAGAAGATGATGATAGAAAATGATGTGGAAAAAGAAATAACTAAGTCTCTTGAAGAGGAACAAGAGGAAGAGGTTGAAGATAAAGAGAATGGAGAAATCATTAAGGAGACGAGTCAGGTATACATGTGATGTTTGTCCGTGTTATCCTGATGGCTAATTTCCCAGACATGTTGCGTAGTTACCGTGCTTGGAAGAGTAATACTCTTTGATGTATATCAAACGTGAATGTAGTTTTTTAGCATTAAAAAAAAAATCCTCAGATCTTTCATAGTTGAAATTAGTTGTCATGATAGTGAGGTTTTCATTACAGGGATTGCAGTTAAGCTTTGGTAATATTGTAATATACAGTATATAGTTATTATATATGACCATTTGAAGTCTATGTAGATATCAAGAATACAAGTGCCTAGGTCTATTATTTGTAAGAAACTACTGCAGTGTTAAGTGGAGCCGGTCGGCCGAGTGGACAGCACGCTGGACTTGTGATCCTGTGGTCCTGGGTTCGATCCCAGGCGCCGGCGAGAAACAATGGGCAGAGTTTCTTTCACCCTATGCCCCTGTTACCTAGTAGTAAACTAGGTACCTGGGTGTTAGTCAGCTGTCACGGGCTGCTTCCTGGGGGTGGAGGCCTGGTCGAGGACCGGGCCGCGGGGACATTAAAAGGCCCTGAAATCATCTCAAGATAACCCTAATAGGGATGCACAGGGGTTTGCATGTTGGTTTTTCTTTGTACCAAAATAAGAAAGTTCATTATCGTGACTATCGACCAGCATGTGCAACGCGCTCAACCCCCTCAACTCGCACAGCACCGTCAACCCCGTTTCCTCAGTAATAACATACACATTGTGCTGAATAAGCTAACCAAGCTCAAGTACTTGGCCCTAGGCCTAGATACCATAATATACAAGACACTTGTGGACCTATGTATTGTGGATACAAGATTTTTTAGCTACCCTAGTGTGATCTAAAAAAAAAAATTGCTACAGTCCAGTACTATGGTTTAGTTGTCGTGATATTACAACCTGATCTTGCCTAGTTCTGTACCTTTTTCTTTGCCCTGTATTTTTATCTCTCTTGTTTTCTTGCCATAGTTGTTGTTCCACTTCCAGTCATGCGGTTCCTTGTAAAAGTCCCCATTTTTGGGATGATTGTATGTCTTGCTTTCCTATTGTCCCTAAGGGTCATTTGTCTCTCATTAGAATCATTGGCAAGTCTGGTACCTTTTCTCGCCTTTTGTTCTTGTACTGCCGTGTTGAGTGATATTTTGCTCCTTTTGCATATCTAGCGAAGTAGACAGTGCTACATAGTCCTCCTGGCTTGGTACCCTCTTTTAATAATTACTGATTTACATGGTATTGTAAAGAACAAATCCATAAGGGCCGTGACGAGGATTCGAACCTGCGTCCGGGAGCATCCCAGACACTGCCTTAATCCATGGCCCTTGTGGATTTGTTCATTTGATGCATCACGTTATTGTGATCTCTGTGTGTGATGGTATTGTATTTTGCTAATTAAACTTTTAAAATTATAACCCCAAAATTTAAATTTTTTGTTAACAATCTATAAAATTTTACTATATATTATGGTACATTGCTAGGTATTTTAATTTTTACATACTGTGTATACTATAGTATAGGAAAGTAACTTTATATTGTGCCATTATATTTTATTTATTGCTAATTATATATATATATTTCCTAACCTTAGGTGGGTGTTCCTGACAAAATAAAAAATGGAGATGAGAGAAATAGCATTTCCTCTCATAAGCAGACCAGCCAAGAAGATCCAGTACCTCGTGGTAAAAGAAGTGCTGCAGAGGATTCAACTTCACGTAAGAAGCCAAAGCAGAAAGAGAATAAGGTTAGTTTAAACACTTTTACATAACAATCAAGATTTTAACACTATAAATTTACTGGATTGCTGGGTTACATTGAATTATTTTAATACTAGGAAATTGTGATAATTTAGATATGTAAGCATATTCTATCAAGGTGGTTCTATGGAGCAATGTCCCTGTGGCCCGGTCTCTGATCAGGCCTCACGGTTGATGATTTGGTCAACCAGACTTCGAAAAAGCAGCCGACAGTCTAACGTATGAATTACAATTCAGCTGATCAGGTATCAACATTTCAGCCCGTCCTCCAAAAATGGGGAGGTAAATGTAACAGCCCCATAAGTGCAATTATGTACTATGTATGATAGTCATGAAATGTACTTATTAGTATTAAAACGTACTGTCAATTCGGAGGATGGGTTGCAGCGACATTTTCCTTGTCTTCTATAACACCCAAGGTGATGTTATAGTGGTCAAGCAGTTGTGAGGCAGTTTCCTAATATTTGGGGGCCAGTGATAGCAGGTGTTTTGCACGTCTGTACACCCAAATAATACTGGGCTTCTAATGGAATCACTTTCCAGATTGGTGGGAGACTTATGTAATTACTTTGAATTAGTCCGAGTCGAAATTGGATATACAGTACTACACCGTAAATATTGGACTAGTAATATGTGATGAGATAAAGTTATATCTTTCACAAATATGAATGGGCGAGTCCTTTAGAGAGGTAACAAAAATAAGCGCTCCAGAGCAAATTTAGCCAGGAACATGTTTTCAGATTTATATTTGTTATATTTTGCCATAAAAAACTTTATAATTCTAGATTTTTCAAATATTACTGGAAAGACCAGTTATATAAAATGTGCAAGATATGAAACTGTTTCCTAATTATAAACTATGGATCTGGTGTTTTTAATTTTATAGAAAAAATAGTTAAAATTTTAAACATTTTGGTAATGCAAATTATAAAGCCTGCTTAGGTGTGTATTTTGCTGATATTTCATCATAATGAAGTATAAAAAATTGAGAATTGAAAACTGAAGAAATTTTTTATTTCTTGCAGGAAATTTCAAATTTAATTGCAAATCCTTAACAATAAGTTTTAATTATATATTACAGTATTGCACAGTATAAAATGCAATACTGTAATATTATATATATATATATAAAATAAATTAAATATTTACATTTATGACTTTTTTTTTTATGGAAGAAAACTTAGTTGATTGAGCACAAAGAAATCACAATGGCATGATGCAGTATATCTATGAGAAAATCATCTGGTTCTAGTGATTCCCAGGACCCTGCCTTAACCCACTTGGCCACAATGGGACAAAAGCCATTCAACCTGAAACTATTGAATTCACTGGGAGGGTCTGGAGACCCCCAACTGGTGCCACAACCAGGGATTTTATGAATGGCCCACCTACACTCTGGCCTGCGGGTAATGGTATGCACATTACCCGCAGGCCAGTGTGTAGGTGACCAGGATTCATAAAATCCCTGGTTGTGGCACTAGTTTGGGCCTCTAGCCTCTCGCAGTGATTTAAATAGTTTCAGGTTGAATGGCTTTTGTCATTCGATCTCGACCTGTCTTGACCCACTCGTAGCCAAGTGAAAAGACAGGTCTGGGAATCGTTAGAATGCTGGTTCAAGTAGATTCATTGCTCCAAATGATTTTAGTTGAGAGTTCTTTCAAATAAATCTCAGTGTAGCGAATAATCAAGAATTTGTAATGGTGGTAAAAAATACTGTATATAAAACGGTGAATGGACAAATGTGAAGGGTGATAAAGGCAGATACATAACAATAGAGGCAAAGGCAAGGTATTATAAGAGTGAAACATTACCCAAAGTTATATATATAAATATATGCCAACATTATTACTATTTGTATACACTTTTCATTACAGAAACCTGTTGAAGCTCCAACTCTTGACGAAATGTTGGCATCTTTTGTAGATTGTGATCCAGACGATTAAATTCTTGAAGAATTATACTATAAATATTTTTGTTCAGGACGTGATCCTTTGTACCTGCCATCCTACGTTATTAAAATTATGGATTATAAATAAAACATTTTATTAAATGATCTTTTATTGATGTTTTCATTTGTTATCCATGTCAATGCCTTGTACATTTTAAAATTTCACATTTCATACATTGCTCGTCTCACTCCCAGATGCAACCACATCAGGAGTGGTTATTCATGTATAAAATTCATCACTCAAGGAAGAACTGATTTAGAAGCTAGATAGTTATGTGGTACCTAGTTGTTGAGAGTATCACATTATGAAAATAATTTATATTGCAGGATGGTCCATCTAGCTATGATACAGTATAGTAGTGTGTGTATAATAAATAAAAGTGTGGCTACATAACTAAAGAACTTAATTATAATAATGAGTGTGTGGTTACATAATCAGTGATTTGTAAAAATATTTACATGCAAATGTATTTTTACAATGTGTGTGTGTGCGCATGTATGTAAAAGTTTTACACATGCTATTATGTAGAAGAATATTTTAATACACTTTGATATAGTGGCTCAAGATAGTGCATCACAGTATTAACATTTTCTCACGTTACTTGCATAACTAAGACTGCAGTAAACTGTTAATCTTGCTTGCAGGTAAACATCTGAACCTTCTCGCTCACATGTGCATGCGCACAAAAAAAAAAAACTTCCAAAATTACATGCGTGCACACTTGCAATAACATATGCAGCCAACACAGTGAATTGGTAAGGCTTTCATTTTAGGATCCTCATTAAAAAATTAAAGTAAGGTTCACGCCTGGTGAAATCAAGTATATGCTTATATGCTTGTTCTGTCTTGGCTAAACAACTTACAAGAAGCTTGTGTAAAAATACTTCATTACTCTAGATTGTCTCATATCCTACCATTACAGAAACTGACAAGTGCTCAAAATTGAACAAATTTATAGTTACAAAAATGATAACTTAAAATTGTGAATATTGATTTAGGCAGGTGATAACCTACACTAGATCAACTCTAAAAAGCCTGGATACCTCGATTAACAGGGTAAAACAATGTTAAAAAGTATAATTATTTGTATATGTAAGCTAACAACTGCAGGATAAAGAACCCTGCCAATATAAAGTAACCATTGGTAAAGTTGGAGTTACATTTAGGTTAACATAAAATTCCTCAGTATTACCTGACTTGTCCAAATTATTTTACTATGTACAGTACTGCAATACACAATATCTATTTTTAATGAAGTGGCACTTATCATTTGGGCTTATAAATATATTTATTTATATTGTATATGTTTAAGCAGGACTTAAAATTAGTTTTATGTACATTACCTATGTACAGTTGAGGATTTTTTTTTATTTTTATTAGTGTCACTCTTTAGAAATGTAATGCATATCTTAACTAAGTTTGGCATAGCATTACAGAAATTCCAGAATGTACATAATGGGGCTACAATTTTAGTCTTTATACATCACAAAGTTCTTTCACGGCAATAAATCAAAATTGTTGACATTTGACCATTACAACTAAATGAAATAAATATACAGGCACATCATTCAGTGTAGTTTACATTTAATCAAGTGTATGTATATTTATGCATACATCTGACTGACACATTGTTACAGCTGAAGTTCATAAACTTGAACCTGATACAAAATACAAATAATACACAATGAATGTTAGGGGGGAGCCTATTTTCCTAAATATTTCATGGTTTGCATAGGTGTTACTTTGGTCAAACAGTCTGGCAAATCAAGAAATTGTCAAAAGAAAAAATCGAGTCAGTGTGACTACACAGCACTCACTCACTCACTCTCTCTCATGTTACTGAATATTCATAAGTTCAGATATCATTCAGGATGCTAATACAACAATGGTGAAAAACTTGTGGAATATTTGCTACTAGAAATTGTCTTAAGCTCTTTATGCACAAATATTAAGACTGGAGCGAGTACAATAACCAGTGAAAAATAAGTAAAAAGAATAAAGATTGGCCAAGCCAGAGTGTGTGTGTGTGTGTGTGATAGTTCCAATACAGTAATAGAGGCAAATATTTAAGCACATTTGTTTACTTTGGAAAATGGTGTATATTTTAATCAACAAATCATGAAGGTTAAGAAACTTTAATATTAAATTGACATACAGAAAAGGTTTCTTTAAATTTCATATAAATGCTGTGTGTATTTTCAAGGGGAAAAAAAAAAAAAAAGAATGCATGAACTTTGGTTAGATAGTAGAGTGGTTAGCTGTAATAGCCCATGGAAACACTCGAGGAGGAAGTACAGGTGGTCTCTTCAACTGATGATAAATGGTCTCTTAAACAAACTAAGTCACATTTGCTTCACTTACAAATAGCCCAACCAGCATTCAGATTCATTACCAGAAGCAATTGTTATGTACTCCTTCGTGTGTTTCAACCCACAGGTGTTTACACAAGTTGTTCCAAGAAGCAAGGCTCGGGTCTCAAGAAAAAATGCTGCATTCATATACAAATATACTAATGTGAATAAATCTTAAAAAGAAAAACGTTATTGTAGAAACAAAAGGCTAATTATTACACAATACAAAAATTACAGACTAAATAACCTGCTGTAAAGTGATAAATGATAGCAGTCACTGAATACAAAAATTGCATATACAAAATATAATTTTAGTGGTATAAGAACATGCTAAATTCATTGGAGTGTATTAGCTTACAGCTATAGTTAAATAATCACATTACACAAGACAATGTGACATCGGTCAATCCTGTTCCATTATCAAGTTAACAAGGTAATACCACAGGCCAGGGATGGACCTCAATGTCACATCTTGCGTCTCGAGTGCAAATCAAGTGCGATTTGTTCTAGCTGCGTTACTGTAACATATTTCAGTGCCATAAATGCAGTGCTGTTGAGAATGAGAACAATTTAATCATGCCTTACATTTTTTTTTATTGTTTATGCCTGTATACATGATAGCCTTATATCCAGGTCCTCCTGAAGGTCGAATTAGACTCTTACCAGAATGCAACCCCACAACAATGTGATTAACTTCTGGGTACCTATTTACTGTTAGGTGGACATGGCCATTAGGTGATAGGAAATGTAGCCAACGGTTTCTCTTCCACCCGGGATTCGAACCTGGAATTCCCAATTGATAGTCTAGAACGAACCCAACTGTGCTACTGGGCGAGTGATGTCACTTGTGATAATAAAGCATCCTGTATTCTGTGGGGATAATATAATGCAACATCAAATTACCATGAATTTTTATATTAATTATTACCTCCCATGTATTATAGATTATTGTATGTATAATGAACAATTATATGCCACCTTGCTTCCCACAGTAATTATCTCCCTGAGGGCCATTTTCAACTGTACTAGATAGTTTTCATTACAATATCGTGTATGGTAGGTTACAGAATGTTGGGTCCAAGGAACTGAAAACATCCTTCTCCTCCTCCTCTCTGCAAGACCTTGGACTTTTCTTGAAGGTCATGCAGTGAAAAAATAACACTGTAGATGAAAAGTTATGTTTTTTTCAGAGCTGTACCACTCATAAGTTCCCTTAAGCAAGGTCCTGTTGCTTTCATGAATATGGACTATGCACAGTCATGGTAACTTGGCAACACAAAGACAATCTGTTCAGTCATTCCCATTGAGTTATGCCACTGCAACAAAAAGACTTAGAGTATTGTCAAGTCCTCAGGATGACAAGAAGGCTCATTGAAAATCCCTTCCAAGCACTTTTCAGCATGAAATAAACTGTCAAAGCAACTAATTATTAAAAGAAAATGCTGTCAATATGACTATAGAGCAGTCTATTAGCACAGAATATCCAAGAGTTCCTAAATATCATTGAGGATGTCAATACAAAATCAGAGAGAGTTCGTCAAAGCAGTTCACTTCACCAAGAATTTGATTAAGAAACATATAGGAACCACAAGAAAGCAATTTTGTAAATTCTGAAAACACAGTACAGTGTACTGTAACAGAAGAGCGACTGTATGGGAACAATACAGCTGTAATTGTGAGGCTAACAGCCTCTGTTCCATCATGTGCTAATGAGTAAATTTTGTGTAGCATATGTAAATGAGCCAGAATAATTCTTCTTCCTACTTGGGTGACAAGAGGAAGGCCACAGGAACAGGTCACATTTATTATTATGTACCAGTAATTTGTTACTTGTAGTACCTAACCATTTATCCAATGGTTGTAGATCACATTGAATGACGGTAGAAATCATGGTAAGAATTTTTGGGGAGATGTAAATGGTATGAATGACTTCTAAAGAAGCAGTATCTTGGCAGGGAAACCCAGCAAAACAAAACTCTTATATCTGCTCCAGGTAAGATACAGTATAATCAATGTTGAGTTTTCAGCACCATGGTAGGAGAAGTAAATAAGTAATTATCAAAGACGACACCAAGCCGGGAAGGCTATGTAGCCCCATCAAATGTGCGGAATAATCAGAGGGTGCTAAATATCACCGAGGATGCCAATATGAGAACAGAAATGCACAAGGCGAACGATATCAAAAGTATCCAATTCACGGCAACTGAATCGTTCATCATTCATCCTCACAGCCGGCATTGACTCATACGTCAGGCTGCGTGCAGCCGCGTCCAACAGACTGGTTGATCAGTCCAGCAACCAGGAGACCTGGTCGACGACCGGGCCGCAGGGACGCTAAGCCCCGGAAGCACCTCAAGGTTCACCAAGAATTCTATCGAGGCATGGTAGGAGGCAACCCGTTCTCGCAAATTTAATAAGTCAATATTGACTTATTAAATATGTGCATAGGTGACATACTTAACATAATAGATACCCCTAAAAAGATTCATAGAAAACACCGACCTTACCTAACCTTGTTAGTATCTTAAGATAAGCATCTTATTGCTTCGTAATTACAATTATTACCTAACCCATAATAGGTATAGGTTAAGTAATACTGTAATCGTAATTACGAAGCAATAAGATGCTTATCTTAAGATACTAACAAGGTTAGGTAAGGTCGGTGTTTTCTATGAATCTTTTTAGGGGTATCTATTATGTTTAGTATATCACCTATGCACGTAGTTAATAAGTCAATATTGACTTTACGAATTTGCGAGAACGGGTTGTAGGAGAAGGATTTTAGGGCGAGAACACCTTTGAGAGTCTACTACAATCATTGGCTCATGAAATGTAACTTTCAGAGCATGTAAAATTGTATAAAGTTCTGCAGTAGAATGACTTAATTTTATTAGGAAAGATGATGGATAAATCAGCTCAGAGTTTAGAACCTTAGAGTGTGGATGTCAGTGGAAATAAGAAAGCCTTCACTTTGCAGATTAGGGTTTTTACAAAATACAATAATCGGAACTTTCCACTGGGAAATGTAGACACAATGCGAGGGGATATATTGCAGATGTGCACAGATGCAATGTTTCAGGTGTGCTATTCTTGGAGGAAATTATTTAAAAAAGGCCACTGAGAATACTGTATACAAGCAGCAGTGGAATGGATGCTCGACAGGTAAGGGAAAGGAAGGAAAAATCATGCCTGATTATAAAGGCCAGTTGATGCTAGGAAGACCACTGAAATTTTAAGATGTCATTAAAAAAATGTATCTGTGAAATTTTCCAGAACAAGAACTAAGTGTTGGTGCCTAGAAATACACATCAGAAAGAGCAGAGAAATTAAAAGTTGTGAGTTTGGGAAACTGGCATAAAAGTCACACACATTCCACTTGAGTAATAAGATACTGTACTGTACATTTGGAAAGAACAGTGCGAGATAAACGAAAACCAGAAAACATTGTAGATGTGCGAGTGGGAAGAAACCATGATAAATTAGAGTCAGGGTCTGTAAAAAAAATACCAACGTGCTTTGCTAAATTGCCAGTTGGCATCCTTGTCTACTTCTTCCAACTATCACCAGGCGCCAGCACCTGTATGTCGGCAGCATACCCAGAATCAGCACCCTTCACATTCTACCGTTCAGTACTTACAGAATATACAGAACGAAAAACTGACTGGCTCAGAAAGAAGCTTTTCATAGTTTAATGTCCTATTTCTAGCTGTACCCTGGTAGGAAACCATAAAAAGAAACAAATATAAGGGATTGAACTTGCCTGTTCTGCAGAGTGGTACCAAATAAGAGCTGCAGAGAAAAGTGATGTACAGTCTAAGAGATCCAAACATGTGGGTACCCAGATCTGCTTCCAAACAGTTGTTATCTGGAAGAAAGTGTCCAAGTGCCACATATTGACAGCAGACGCAGACTTGTATAAATTGACCTCCCAAATCCCGTGAGCTATCAGCACAGTACATAGCGAAAAAGAGTAGCTTAAGTGAGGCAAACGTCAGCAGATGATGAGCATGGGGATAAGTCAGCAGATAAGCTTCACCACCTTGCATAGAAACTTAGCAAGTCTTGCTCTAGTACAAGGCACCATGGCACAACAGTAAGGAAAAAGGGACCGAGAAAAACTGACCAGTAGAACCTGAAGATACCAGCACAATTCTACAGCTGGGCAGAAATGTTGGACAGAAGGTAGAATATATCACTCCAACACAAGGATGAGGCCCCTCTGAAATGACCTTCTCATTCTTAAACAACAAAGAGGGATTCAGTCAGAGAGGAATAAAAGTGTGCCTCTAGCTAACAGCACAGGGAAACAAAGTAGACCAAGGCCTATACTGGGTTTCAGGACCTCTGCTGTGATTGAAAAAAACAAAATTACAGGACAGCCATGGATATTGCTCTCAAGTATGACTTTAGGCAAATAAAACTTGTTCAAGTAATCATGCATGTGTGACAGTGATTGAACTAATCTTAATATGTATACCTGACCGTAAGTTGACATCCTTGGACAAAATTCTAAGGAACCATGAAAATGGAGTAAAACTAAAGTCCTATGCTTATCTCTTTGTGGTGTTCCCAAGGCTTTGTGCCCTCTTCTGATAATTACTTAAATTTATGGTTCTCCCTTGGTCACACTAACAGCAACACACACACACACAAATAACACAAATTGTACTGAATTATCTAACTGGTTCCAGTACTTGAGCATCTGGCTTAAATCCAAATAAAATGGTTAACTGAACCAGCATAGAAGTGATAACTAGCACTGTTCAGTTACAGAATCCACACACACAAAACTCTGCGCACACACACACACAGACACGTGCAAGCATCCAATAGCACGAGCCAACTGCTGAACAAAAACTTCTGAAGATAAACATACAGGTATCAGTTATTTTAGTCTGTTAGCCTTAAGTCCATAGGGATTCACTTAGGGAAAATTTGAGGTGGGGCTTGAGTGAAACTTCTCCAGCCTCCCCCCATGCAACTGTAACCCAACAAGTACAAGTGATAACCTCCCTGTTGCACCTGTGTTAATTGTTGGCCTGGAAAGCAACCAGCTGAAGAGCTCAGACATTAAATTTGTTTTAAACATATAGATACGCCTTTTCTAATACGATAATTTGTAGCGATTTATTTTTGAATAAACTATACCCTTTGAGAAGAGATACACTTTCACACCATTTTTCGATCAATTTTACTTTCCTATACAGTATACTGACATTTCCAAAGTCTGGGCAATCTTTTGTCACGGTCATCATAATTGTCAACCAATGGCTAGAATTTGTTCTATTTCATAAAATCCCTAATTCCTTACCAAAATAATATTCATAGTTATTACAAATATTTTTTAAGAATTAATACTGTATGCTGTGATTGAGAATGTTTCCCCAAACTGGCACCACTCGGGCTATGTTGAGGGAGGTGCAATATAACTCAGTGGTTCCAAATCAGCACTCAAATACCATCTCAAGACCAGGAGACATGGCACAAGGGGCAAAGAAGCTCAACTGCAAAGTAGGGGGTTAGGTTATCTTGAGGTTATCTTGAGATGCTTTCGGGGCTTTAGTGTCCCCGCGGCCCGGTCCTCGACCAGGCCTCCACCCCCAGGAAGCAGCCCGTGACAGCTGACTAACTCCCAGGTACCTATTTACTGCTAGGTAACAGGGGCGTTCAGGGTGAAAGAAACTTTTGCCCATTTGTTTCTGCCTCGTGCGGGAATCGAACCCGCGCCACAGAATTACGAGTCCTGCGCGCTATCCACCAGGCTACGAAGGACGAGATAGGACCCAAGGTTTTCTAACACTCCCTCAAATAGGGCAGTTAGTAATGCTTCTTATAATTAATATTCAAGAGCAAATTTGATGACCTCCAATCGGCAACTGTCAACCAGGAGCCACATTGATCCTTAGTACCACATTATGATGCTGGATTAGGCAAGAATGTATCTGGCAACGGTAATTAGTTATTCCAGCAAAGTGGCAAATAGGTCTTACCAAGAATGTTCCCTGGACCTTCTACTGTTCCTGATATGAAGGTAAGATCTTTTTATGGAGTTGGAAAAGAAGCCCAAGATTTTTGTCAGAGATAAGCCGAGCTCTGAGGACAGGTTAAGGGAACTCGTCTGATAACGCAGAACACATGGAGGTAATACTTTGTATAATTATTAATAATGAATACAATTTTGAGGCAAAATATAGGCCTTTCAGTGTTTTATATCAATCCTTTGAAAAGATTGTCAATGCACTGAATTCCATGGCTTTATTGCTGCAGATACTTAAGTAAATTGCAAACACACACACTGCAATAATATTACAGTACAGCATATCATAATGCTTGTGCCATGAGAAATCCAATTTGCTCAATGTTTTCCAAAGCGAACATCAGTTAATTATTGGGTAAACCTCGCCTGCAGTCTATAATCTAGCGCCTTAAATAAATTTCTTAAATTCCCAAGATCAAAACTGTGTACTGTTTAAGAAAATAGTATTGAATAATGAATCTTTTGAGAGGCACTGTCTAAATGTTATAATAGTGTGCAATAAGAAGTTGGACGATTAAACTAATTTACCCTGTATGACTATCATCATTAGATGCAGAATAAGTTGTTCATCACAGCTAACATTGCTGTACTTGTGCTGGCCAGCGAGTGTGGTGAATAAGATCAAACTTTGTTTCTTAACCGGGGTTCTGTGGAATCCCAAGGTAACTAAGGTGTTCCATAAAAGATATTGAAAAATGGGCAATTCATATACAAATACATTTTTTGATCCATTTTTGTGTTCTCATTTAACCAGTATTAAGAGCAAAGATAAAAACCATCTTTTTTTTTTTTTTAATTGACGGTGAAATCCACACGTTTATTTAATGTACGACTCAAATTTTTTGCAAGGGGTACGAAGGTTGGCAAATGCTAGTCAAACTCTTAATGTTCCTCTCGACTTTTTTTGCCCACATTTTAAAATTTTTGACATTCGAGTTCTGTGATGTATTTATTTTGAAGTCGTGTAATGAGGTGGAATTCAATCTTTTCTCTATGAATTTTAATGATTGAATGTGAGATTGTCTTTATTCTTCTTGCCTACCGTTTAGGATTGTCTTTATTCTTCTTGCCTACCGTTTAGGATCATATTTAGGATATGTTGCATTCATATCCCTATTGCTCTAGCTTTCCTCTTGGGGGTCTTGGGTCGAGTTCTCTTAACCAGTCCTCTAACTTCAGGCACTAGCCTTCCTCCCAACCACTAGACATTGTTCACTTGCCTTCTCACATGGTGCAAGCATCCACACATTGCCCAGAATGAATGTTTTGTCCTCTTCTTACAAAGCCCATTCATTTGTGAGAGCACATGTCCTTCAAGCTCCTGGAGTGCTGCTACTTCAAAACAACAGTGAATATTAAACCCAGGCAAAAATGCTCTTATTTTATTCTTGGATGCTAGCTGTAGTAACAAAAAAAAAAAAAAAAAAAAAAAAAAAAAAATTGCACAATTGATGCACGTAGTAAAAATTATAGACAATGAATGTCCGAGTGAGGATAACGGTGAGGGAAGTTGTGAGTGGACATACACAGCTAGACAAATCAACCTAATGACATCAGTAGAGCATAATGACCAGAGGTGATATGCTCACAACGTACAAGATGCAGAGGAAAATAAAGTGGATAAGAGTCTTTTCCCAGGTGAGGGACAACAGAAGAGGGCAGATCAGTCAGATGTTGAAAACACACAAGCCAAATAAATTAAATTCATTACCTACATGCAGTGACTAGCCAACAAATGGATTGAAATCGCGCCAAAGGTGATGCAAATAACCTCTATTCATAACTTCAAGAACAAATATGACGACACTGGTAGCATAAGTAAACCAGGTGCAAGAGCTAAGAGGGTGAACGAGACCTAAATCCTCCTCCTCGTACAGTACACACCATTATGCGCACAATTATTGTTGTCAGATGGAACAAATTCCATGCCAAATTTTCACGTAACAGTTTGCAGGAAGAAGCAAGTGTGATAATTGAAAGTGAAGAACATTTACAAGCTCTTATCAATGGTGAATTGATGGATCATCAGCTGTAACAAATGTAAATTGTGTGTGGGGTATATAGGCTATGGGAGTGTGTTTCAAAGACACTCATACCACACTAAAACTAAAAGTTCTGAAGCATAACATAAGTAATTCTCAAATGACACCAAGCCCAGGAAACTACAAAGCACTGTCTGCATCTCAGAATATTCAAGTCCCTAGATATCATGCAGATGTGAGAGCAGAAAGATAAGATGACATTAAAATTAAGATGAGCATTGCCCAAGGAATCACATTCACCGAAGATTTCACCAATGGACAAAGGAACATTGGTAAAGCAAAATTTTTGAGGCAGAAAGTAAAATGCTTAAATGTGTAAAGCCATGTTTATAAATATATTGTATCATTCACTAATAACACACTGTTTTTGCAAGATTAATGAGACAACCTGTTTCTGTGCATCAGTCTTCTTGTCTGTAAGTGTCCACACACTCATTGCATAATACACTCCACTAAATAATTGCCTTAAATTGTTTCCTACTTTACTTTTGTGTGCAGATCCACTATTTCGTAACGAAAGTTCTGCACATGGCTGACAGAGGAACTCTCCACAGTACTAAGATGGCATAAATCAATGCCAAGAAGAAAATGGGTTCACACTTTAACAGTCATTAAAACAAATCTGCCCAACTCTTCAAGTGCCATGCATCATATTATATAAATTACTTTTATTACAAATTGGTAGATCTGAATTCAAAAGTATGGAAAATAAACAAAAAATCTTATATCTAACCTTATATTTTGGCCAGGGTGGTTGGTGGTCAACATTCCTCCTGGCATTGGTCAGCAATATGCCGTAATAAGCGCCAGGGGACCAAACAAAAATCATATTTTTTTGCATGAAATATATTAAAAAATAAGGGATCTGTAAGCAAAAGTAAAAAAAAAAAAAAAGAATACCTAAATCAATATATATACAGTGATAACGGGAGAACATTTACTCCACATTATTGGATATCCTCCCATGACTGCTGGGAGAGACCACTGTGGTATTGCAACCATATGGTTAATATCAGTCTTCAAGCTAACAAAATGTAGAATCATCATATGAGGATGACCACACTTTGAGGGGGTTAAAAGATTGCCGTGACACTGTGTATAGTATGAAGTGCATGTAGCTGTACATTATGTAGAGAAGAGGCTTTTCAATATATTAATGTACTAACAACAAATAAAAATTCCAAGACAATACAATAAGTTCGAAGAAACAAAGACTGGCATCAAGACTTGGTAATATGCTATGTTATGCCCTGACGTGGCAAGTAGCCATGCTGGCCTAATTTGGGAACTGTCTAGGAATTTGTTAGGCCTTGCTGCGACCATGACAGTGCTAGGAATACACAGCAGAAAGGTCTGTTCTATTTCTTTGTGACTGGAACAAGGCATTGTATAAAGACAAGTTATGCCGGTGATGTGAATGATCTATTACTAAAACTTTGTATGTGATGGCCATAACAGTGATACTTATATGTACAGTAATGTGTTGAAACTCAAGATATAAAAATAAAGTTTAGTTTGTTGTGAACCGTTTGAATTGCCACAACGACAGTGTACAGGTCACGGCAAAATACTTTTGTACACATGTACATCACGGCAAAAGACTTTTGTACACGTGGAGATGTAAATGACTTGTGCATGTACATGTCATTTACATCTCCACCTCCAGCAATAGGAACCTGCACAAACGTGCTCTCGTACCTTAACGACACTCATCACTCAACCTGCCCCCTCTAGCTCCATTATAATAGTGCAAAGCATAAGATGCAGCAAAGATGGACACATAGATGAACATTTAACATAATCAGTAATAAACAATAATAACCATTATATGTACTTCATACATTTCATTCCCATCTATCAAAATTCTAATTACATATGGAGAACCCTCGACAACCTACTTCTGTTACTTGAGGACGTAACAAATTACACATGACTTAATAATTATATCTTTTATTATAAAACATGAGTAACAGCAAAATACTCACTCAATTACTCAGACAAGCCAGTGCAGTCCATAAAAGTATAAATATTCCATTTATACAAAGTTTGCATAATGTCCATTCTTCATTGTCAATGACTACAAATTGCATCTCAAAAATTCTCAGACCTTGCAGATTCCTTAGGCCCCCCCATACAAACACGACTAAAAAAAATCTTGACTTGTGACGTATTAGCCAATGTGAGCAGTGGTGGCGGTGCATGTTTGTTCTCCAGTGTGAGCACGATCTCTCCCCAGTGTCCACACCACCACCGAGGCCATGCTTGACCCATGCAAAACCAAAATCATGGAGAAGTAACTATATTTCCTCTTGCATTATATAGTACAGTACCAATATTATTCTGCCAGCACACAGGATTACTCAGAAAACTAGTATTCAATTTAATTTGGGTAGAATATTTAGCTCCTGCTAGAAAATGTCTATAAATTTCTTTCCATACCCGAGCAGCATAATCGCTCAGAACACTGATGACATACAAGCCAATAAAAAATGTAAAAATGGTATGATTTATCTATGAAGTTTATAATGGCATTACAGTACGTTCCATTACTACATTTTGGCTAAGTAAATGCTCTTTAGCAAAATGTTTCTGCTACTTGATCAAAAAAAAAAAAAAAAAAATCGTACCTAGCCCCATTTACATTATATCAAGACATTTAAGGAAACAATCCAAGAAATCTTTTGTCTATAAATTTCCTTGATAAAAACAAGGATAATTTCTGGTTGAAATATCGGAAAAAATACTACAATTTGTTCGTCATAAATGAAAATGTATGTCATGCATTTTAGGCAGTTACAACAAACCAAATTTTCTCGCAAAATTAAGTTTTCAAAATGTTCTCATGCATTAATAAGAAATATTCAGCTCAAAAAACATGTTTCAAATTTTTTTTTTATTTAAACTAAAACTAACTTAGCAACCTTGTCTAACCTTAATATGCCTATTAACTCCTAACACTGCCAAATGTATGTACATATAATTTATAAAAATGGCATCATTAAAATGCTGAGTTTAAAAATGAAATCAGCGTTAGAACAAAATATTAACCTGCCTATTTTGGCATGTAGATGCTTGATAACTAGACCAAGTTGGGCCTACAAGGCCCCATTATATCTACAATGCAGTATACAGCAATGTATGTATACACAGTATATATGCTGTCTGTTCACAGTATAATTAAGTGAGAAGTACAGTTATAAAAAATAAAGTAATACTGTTTAACCAAAATATTATCAATTTGTTGCAGTGGCGTTCAATACCAGAAGATTGAGGGAAACCTGAACATGTCTGCCGTTTCTTCCAAGCAGACACAAGGAAGAGTACATCAGCAAGAGTTTCTTCCAAGCAGACACAAGGAGGAGTACATCAGCAAGAGTTTCTTCCAAGCAGACACAAGGAAGAATACATCAGCAAGAGTTTCTTCCAAGCAGACACAAGGAAGAATACATCAGCAAGAGTTTCTTCCAAGCAGACACAAGGAAGAATACATCAGCCAGAGAAAAGATTAAGGCTTTAGGTAACCGTTAAGCAGTTATTGTTTTTATTCAGCACTTAATAGCCAAATACAATTATAGTTATAATTTGTTTGTTTCTTTACCACAGGAAAAACTCTTGTAAACTGACGATCAAGGAAAAAGAAAAGCACTAAAATTAACGACCAATATCTACATACCTGAATCACAGATGGTCTTTGAATACTGGACCACCAGCCCTCGTAATGTTACCTTACAAGTAACCGCTGTCATCCACACATTCTTTATTCATTTAAAAACATTATATTGAAACAATTTTATTTCCACTCTCCAGGAAATCAGACAATTGTTTACAATAAACAAAAGTAATTGGTTTTCCCTATCTGATAAAATCTTCTACCACCCTGAGGAACCTGATCATACTACTTGTGGTAATCTGGTTTTATGCGTCACAGAACCCTCATACGCACTCCAATACCTCAAATAATTAAGAGATTTGAATGAAGTACAAATATTTACTGTGCCTACCTATTTACACATTAATTTTATCACACTGCATAATACTCTTTTCCAACTGATTTACTGCTCTCTTTAATAATTATTTCAAATTTTTGTACACACACGGACAAAAATACCGAGCTATTCATCCAACGCCCATGTTAAGATTCAGACAACAAATCCCTTCAGAATCCTAATGATCAACACTTTGTTGACAAACTCCACACCTTACCAAGTATAAATACTATCATCAATATTCCTCCACATTATGAAGAGTGCCAACAGCACCAAAACATTACTCAATAATCAGACGTAGCCAGCTGCTAAGTGTGTGAAGTTCACTTGTAAATATCTTGATATGTGAACATTGTTGCATGACATGCCTTCTCCCTCCACTCGCATACCATACAACTATTTAAAAATGTAGCCACATTTAGTCATTGCCAGAAAACTGTAGACACTATTTAAGTATAGAAATGCATCCTGAACAGAAGCAGGTGGCGGCGTGGTGCCCACAACACGGACCGCACCATTATCATCATCTTATTCTCCAAAGAGGGAAAAATAACGTCTCCCAATATTACGTAGAAGAAAAAGCTCGTAAAAGTACTCTCTTCCTGTAATGTAGTTGCCATCAAAATTATACTGTAAATAAATATTTTCATTTCATTCTAAAGACTGGTCACTCAAAAACTGCACGATGATTAAACTCATTACAATATACATAATGACTGCCATTGTTGTTCTCAAATGTTATCTTTGGTTGCTGCTCAACAAAATGAAACCAAAATGGAAACAACATAATTACAGCTCTAAAGACAAAAAAAATTACAATAATTATAAAGAGTATACATTAAACTTAGATTAAATTTTTCATATACCAAGTTTCTTTTACCCACGTACACCACATTGTTTCTTATTGTTATACACAACAAAAAAAAAACTGCGGTTGTAAGTTTTACAATAAATGAAAGAAGGGGCAAGTTACTGAAGAACATGTATACAAACCTTTCAAATTCTATGAAATATCCCAATACATTTCAGTAAATATTATGAAATGATCAATAAAATATTTTGTCAACCGTATCAGACAAAATGGAGATTGGTAATTTTGTAGCGCATATCACTTTACTTGAAACAAGTCCTCATAATAAAAGCTTACAAGAAAGTTGATACAACACATATACCCTTCTAATAAAATCATATTCAATTTATGACTGGCAGGTTAAAGTTCAACACGCACATAGCTCTCTCGGCGAGCAATATTTGTCGATGGGAACTCCGAGGGGTGAACACTTCCAAGTTACTAACAACATTAGTTTGTGACCGTGTATTTCGTACCTGGCACCGCATGCGTGTTTTCGTGGGGCTATTTGTCATGCCAGACTTAAGCAACACAGATGGAAAATTTATTGAAGGGGTTGGTAAAGCACTTCGGGTAGTTCTGTAGCTTCCATCTCCACTTTGCGTCCTGATATTTCCCACATGGCTGGCTCTCCTGAGCTGTGATACAGATTTTAATAAGTGTCTTCCCACTCTGAGCTCCTTGCATTCATCACTCAAAAGTCCAGAAAGTTCACGGTTCATTTTAATTGACAATTTTTCTTTTTTTCTTCTCACATCTGAACTCTTTATCTCACCTGTCCTGTGTCCATTTATTGACTGTCCTTTAGAATGATATAATGGCACGTCATCTTCATCCGAACTGGCATTTAGATATTTAACATCTTCCGAACCAAGATAATCAGATGGATGGAAGCCCGTTCCACGAAGTTCTTTGTATTCGTCTTTCCCTAGATTGTTTAATTCCCGACATAGAGATTTAAATATCGATCTCTTTTTCTTTGGGTTTGGGGCCTGTGGTTGTACAGTTGACCCAGCCACTTGTGTACAATCCAAAACTATTGACTTGGAAGTTCCAGAATCTGACACCAGTATGCTTTCTAACTTATTTGAGTATCTGTTTTCTTGTGGTTCTTCAGGTGTTGGAATTCGAGCCTGTAATGCCCCACTTTCTTCTGCAGTCTCGCCCATAAACCCAGACTTTGCATCCGTCACAAATGTGGGCGAAACATCCACATTATCTCCAACAGGAGATTTAATTCCACAGTGTGTCTGTCTTAATTCTTTTCTTTTAATCTCCGATATAACAAATTGTGAAGGATTAAAACCCATCCGAATGATTTCCTTACATTCATCCTGAGCAAGAGATTTCAACTCTCTTACCATTTTTACACTATTTTTCTTAAGGTTCTTTATCTGTTCATCTATCTCACTTGACTCAAGTACAGTATTGAGACAGGCTGCAGATCCCTCCAGTCTTGGAAATTGTTTTTTTAAATGCCCTACATTCAACAGACCAGGTTTAATATTTGTAACAGGATGAAATCCTCTATGCTGCATTTCCTTCCACTCATCACTAGTTAGATTTACAAGTTCTCGAGTACTTACACTAAACCTCTTTCTTTCAGTATTTGTTACGTCAAATATGCCTCTTGCCGCAACACTATTTTCACTACTTAATAAAACACTATCTTTTATAACTGGTTCACTGTGTACTGTACATCTAATTTCTTTATTACTATAATTATCAGTAAGCTGTTTTTCATTATTTACATCTAAAGGTCCCTTTCCATGAAACATATTTTCAGTTATTATAGATTCTCTGTATTCTTTAGAGTTTTCTGAATATAACCCAAAACTTCCCCGTTGCGCAACACCACAATTCGAAGAACTATCGACTGATTTACCGTCGAGTGTCAAGTACGAGGCTGAATTTCCATTTTCATCCGTACACGATATATAATCTTCTGGCATCACCGAAGGACGTGAGGGACGAGAATTACGAGTGCCAATTATTTCCGATTGTGTCCTGGTTCTTGAATTAAAATGATCTGTGGCACCCACCGCTGATGTATTACCAGATTCACTCTTTGCTGCAGTATTTCTGCGGTAATTTAAGCCGTCACTATTTTTTCTTCTCGCTTTGCTAGGTAAAAATTTTTCTAGAGATCTTCTTGTTAATCGGGTCTCTTGCACATCTAAATGTCTCAGTTCCCCTAACCCTTTACACTTAAGTTCCCGACACTCATCCTTAAAAAGTTGAACTATTTCAGATTTCCTTATCTTGTAGCTAGTATATTGAAAAGATGAAATTTTTTCAGTTTGTTCAGCACCATTTTTGTCTTTTAAAGGTTTTCCTATACCTAACATTTCACTGTGTAATCTATTTGAAGTCAAACTGCTCATACAGTTGTGCCTTACATCTTGACTTGCATCAGTTCCTACCCAAGATTTGAAGAATTCCACACCTTTATTAACAGTATTCACAATAGTACTAATAATTCCACCAACTTGAGTGCCCACAGTAGGAAGGTGTTTATTCTGGGTCTCTGTTACTTTCAAAGGGGTCACACCCTCTGTGTTGTGCTCACTCTCTCTCAAGTTCACAGTTGGAACACGGAAGGAGATATCTTCATCTACACGAAAAGGAGACTTAAAGCTAATGTCTTCATCTACGATAAATGACTTGTTAGTTGCATGTGAATATTTCCTTCTTTCAAGGGCACCACTCTGATCTGATACCTTCAGGAGTGTGGCTTCTGTCAATGGTGTTAAGTGAGCATTATTTAACTCTTCAGGAGTAACAGGAACAACCTCTTCAGGGATTACAGTTACTTGGTTGTCTTCTTTACTAAGCAGAAATTCTTTCGAGGGTCGAGACTCTTCTGCAATATTCCCCTCCGAGGAGATCACTCCTTTATTGGATATGTCTAAAATTATCATCTTTCCACCACCACAAGGAGGTTCCTTACTTTTTCGCTTCCGGCTATTGCCCTTCATCTCTGGTCCTTGGGTGGCCGGTGGTGGAACTGTGTCATTAGGTAGGAACAAAACATGTGGGACGGGTGAAGTTGCTAAACTGGGCGGGACATTCGGCGGCTGGCCATTGGTCGCCAAGTCCCCTACGTGTCCGGCTCCACAGTGGGACTTCTGTTCCGACGACCAATGGCTACTCCCATTTTTTGGCAAGGAATAATCAGATGAATCTGGCACTTTAGCACCAGTGTGAGGATAGCAGGCAAGGCCATCAAGCTGTTGAGGGGCATTGTCTGCTTCACTCTGGCCACGAGCCCGAACAACATCGTCATCGTCACTAGAGAGATCAATTATTTCAATAGAAGAGTTTGTTGTCGGATGTGATATACTTGAGAGAGTAATGCTGGTATTGTTCAGTGACACTGCACTACTGTCCCTCTCTGACATACGAGGCACTATTTGGGAATAAATGCTCTGACTGCCTTTTGGCATGCTTTCACTTTGCATATGTGTAAGGTGTCTGTTTTGTTCTTGTTGGTGACCTGTTACACTTATTCTTGAATCATTGTTACTTTGTTCACTGGCATTTATTTGCTGAACATTTGACCGAGAATCACAAAAAGCATATTTTTTTCTCGATAATGGCTTCAAAATATCACTATTTAATTGTCTATTACTTCTATCATGTTTAACTGATGTCTTTAGTGGAATTAGAGATATGTCTGCAGTAGAAGAAGCATTCATCTTCAAGGATAAGCTCGTTCCATCAACAGAATATGAGGTCATTTGGCCTAACTGATTCTTACTACCAAACTGACCTATTTGAGATTTCTGGATGAAAGCAGATTGGAAAGCACGCTGTTGATTCGTGAGCAAGTGCTGACTCCCGAGCGGTAACGGAATAAATTTTAAAGAACCCTGCTGAATGGCCTTATTTGAATTTAGTTCACTTATGCCTAATTGAGCAGTACGATTTGAAGTAAGGATACTGCTGAGTAACCCTCCAGAGTTTAAAATTCCACTGCCCCCAGGAACACTCACATTGTCAGACATCTCAGGCAGGCCATCCAGCCACTGTATAGTACCAGCAAGTGTGCCAGATGATGATGATGCTTTAGGGCTAAATGGGTCCTCATTTGTGCAAAACTGTGTTTCTCTACTGCTCCAGGGTGCTGGTCTTGAATTAAGCAACATACTGTTGTCCGCTAAAGCTGGGTATCTATCAAATGCCCACATGTTATCCACTTGACACTCGTCAGTTAAATCAATGCATGGAGCAGTAGGCCCTCCCAATCGCATAATTCTATCCACCATTCTTTTCTGTAGACGTTTCATTTCAATCTTCAGTGGTCGACACAATCTCAGTAGTCGTCTGCTTCTCCAGTTCAGCCCTGGAGAAGATTAAGAGGAAGAAATAAATAACAGCCTAAAAACAGGAATGTCTGATGCTCACAACCGATAGTAAGGGGCACCAAGGGGCTGCTTCAAGAGTGGCAGTGACTGCCTTATGTACAGACCAAGAGAGACCAAGAGATGCTGGTTTAGTATAAATGTGAAGACCCAAGAATTATTAAACCAGTAGAAATGGATAATCTAAGAAGCATGAGTGCTGTTATTTTGACCAGACAACACACTAGAAGGTGAAGGGACGACGACATTTCGGTCCGTCCTGGACCATTCTCAAGTCGATTGTGACTCATTCGACTTGAGAATGGTCCAGGACGGACCGAAACGTCGTCATCCCTTCACCTTCTAGTGTGTGGTCTGGTCAACATACTTTAGCCACCTGATTGTGACTCATCGCCTGCATAAGTGCTGTTATAATGTGCTCCAAAAGGGTTTAGTCACAATGAATGGATGTTGATAGGCTGGTGAAAGGAATAATCAAATAAATTAGAGAGGACGAGACAGAGATAAAAGCAGAAGAGAAAGTGCAGACATGGTGACTGTGTGGGCACAAGCAGAGATTGAACGAATAACATACAAAGTATGATATACTGGAGGTGTCGTGCTGTTAGTTATCCATGATACCCGCCATGTGTTATACAAGACATGATTAATGCATGAGTGCCATACAGTCCAGTCCTGCTCCCTTTACCTCTTGAGGCTCATGCCATGAGAGGCGAGATACACGGTAACAGTGATGATGACACTTCGAATAAAGCAGCTATAGAGATAATTAGCACTTACTGGACATTTATAATTAATGATGTTTAAGACAAATAACTTGTTGTATTTAGTGCATTTAAAACCTACAATTTGAATTTAGAGACTTTGTGCTATAAAATGACAGACTTGCCCCGAGTCAACACAGTAAAATCTGGCTCAATCTCCATAAAATACACAGTTCTGAGGGCAGTGTAACTGATCCAGTACTCTTCCACATCCTCATATCCGACAGAGACAAAGACTTGGGCTACGATGTTTATCAACTTCTGCAGATGACGCTGCCATTTTTATGAGAGTACAATCTACAGAGGACACAACACACCTCCAAGTTAAAGTAAACCAGAACACTCAATGGCTCGTGGAAAACAGCACATCTCCCGCACTTCAAAGCGTTATATGACAAAGAGTGCTGGGAAGATGGAACACCACGAGCATAGCTCTCATCCTGTAACTACACTTAGGTAATTACTATGGTAAGAATGAACAAATCAAAACTCAAAATACATATACAGTGTTGTCAAACCACACAACAGAAATACAGAAAGCAAAAATAACAAACCTGGAAGTAATCATGATGAAAGTCCTCATTTTTACAAAATACTGTACAATAAAGTAGCTGTCACAAATACAACAAAAATAAATGATGGGCTGCATAATAAGAATCTTTCAAACAAGAGATGCCAGACCAATGACGGTACATTTCAAGACAGCAGTAATATCTAAGGTGGAAGATTTTGCACACTAATTCTCCCATTCAAACGTGCTGATAGAGATCGTGTAGAAAACACTCACTGCTCAAATAAATTCAGTAAAATATTCATAATTGGAATTTTTTAAAATTCCTCAATCCTGGAATGCAAGTGCGAGAGATACATCATAATTTACACCTAAAAAATACTGAAAAGACTGGTTCCAAATCAGGACACCGAAATACTTCCTTAGACCAGAGAAATGGTAGAATAGATAAAATTACCCAGTTGATAATTAGGGACGCAATAGGTATTAAAAAGAAATAACTATAAATATTAACAGCACAAGAATTTAAAACTCCATCTCTAAAGAGGCTCAACTAAACAACCTTTTGGCATTCAAGAGGAAACTTAATAAAACCTCCAAAGAGGCTGATCAACCAGGCTGTGACTCATACGTCAGGCTGCGAGCAGCCGCGTCCAACAGCCTGGTTGATCAGTCCAGCAACCAGGCGGCCTGGTCAACGACCGGGCCGCGGGGACGCTAAGCCCCGGAAGCACCTCAAGGTAGGCCCTAATCATCTGGACTGTGATTCATATGTCAGACTGCATGCAATGCCATCCAACGGCCTGGTTGACCAGATCATCAAACACGAGGTGCTGATCAGAGACTGGCTCGTGAGGATACCGATCCTCGGAACCAATTCAAGGTGCTCTCTACCTTTTCTTTTCCGTTTTCTCATGTGTATATTCGCAGACCAAAGAGCCAGAGCTCAACCCCCAGAAGCACAACTAGGCAAGTACACTGTGGCAGTCCTCATTTTTAACACACGTTCATGTATAACAGTGAAATTGTTCAAACTTTACTTAGTCAATTACCAAGCCAGGACTCATCAAACATTTACACAATATACAAAGTCTGTAAATGTTTTCTCAATCATGGTGGCTGTTTATATTTATTAACTATTTTACAAGCTTGGAAAAAAGGTAACTATTGTTATAAACAACCCTCGTATTGCTTTGAAGTTCCTCAACTGCTTAATATATGTAAACAAAGCTGCCATGACTGAGGACAGACCTGCAGGTGTTGTAAGTGGAAACATGTATGCTTGAGTAATGCTGGCCCACAACCTGCAAGTCTTAACAAAATATGTTAAGTATAGTACTCGTTTTAAATCTTCAACGGAACCCCTTTAAGGTACGTGTTGTTTGGAACATTAAGTTACGTAAAGCCACCCCCTTGAGGCAGGAGAGTTTCGAGAGGAAAGAAGTGTCACACACACACACACACACACACGAGATCTCGTGGTACAGTTGGCTTCATTCTTGACCCTCAATCCGAGATCCTGGGTTCAATTCCCAGGAATTGGAACAGAAATGGCTGGCCACTTTTCTTTCACCTCATGCCTCTGCTCACCTATCAGTAAGTAGGTACCTGGGAGTTAGGCAACTGTTGAGGGTTGCATCCTAGGAGAGGTCAGTAGTTTGACTTACAGGGGACCTCGATACAAGCCTAAAGAATACATATACACAGGCTTCCTCTCCTTGACAAAATTAGTATTATTCAAATAAATATGTATAGCTCCGGGTTCTCAAATTTTTATGCCATTTGTCATTTTTCTTTCTAAGATATAAGTAATGAAGTTTTAAGTTCTAGTAACATTTAGTTTAGCAAAATTGCAAACAAATTTCTAAATATATTTAGTTTATACTTTACATAACAGGATCAGCTTTCATATTTTGTTGCAACAACAGTGATTCAATATTTGTTTAGCATGTGTCGTGACATCATAACGTTCAACAGCTCTGCCTGTTCATGTATGCATTCCAGTACTGTTGTTCATCAACAAATAATACCATGGGGCACAAGGGCACTACTCAATAGTGAATAAACGATGGCTCCTGAATCTTAAAAAAAAATAAACTTATGCTGAAATATACTATAAACGTAAATAATATACTATAAACGTAACAAAATGCAATTGGGATCTGACTAACAAAAATGATCGATAATGGGAGATATAGGGAGAAAGTGCGATAAGAAAAGGAATCTGGTACCTATAAGTGAGGAGGTGGAATTATAAATTAAAATGTGTTGTATCCTGAGCAGTTTGAGTCTACAGCCTCACCTGAAAAATATGAAAAATGGTAATTGTTACAATGAACATCATACTGCAATAGTTTATTAACTTGTACATGAACTGTTATACTAGTTTTTTTACTTCCCCTGATCCCAATTTCTCAAAGTGACTATTGATACAAGTCATCATTGCCAAAATGTCCTTTGAAAATACTCAAATCCTCCTACCTGAGTTGATGGTGATTCTACGATCTCGCCGCTGTCCGCTAGTGAAGCAGTAGAGATGGACCCACGGTTGCTCTTCCTTCCTGTCCCGCCATACAACAATCCATCGACTGTTACATCTGTTGATAATTATAGCGTACTGAATTGTGCTACACTATACCTTATTATTTTGAGGTTATCTTGAGATGATTTCGGGGCTTTAGTGTCCCCGCGGCCCGGTCCTCGACCAGGCCTCCACCCCCCAGGAAGCAGCCCGTGACAGCTGACTAACACCCAGGTACCTATTTTACTGCTAGGTAACAGGGACATAGGGTGAAAGAAACTGGCCATCGTTTCTCGCCGGCGCCCGGGATCGAACCCGGGACCATAGGATCACAAGTCCAGCGTGCTGTCCGCTCGGCCAACCGGCTCCCGTCATGGCAACGTTGACAAAAACAACAGTTACAAAGGAAATGGTGGATTTTAAACATAAAATTAAAAACTTCTGTTTAGGTAGATAGAGAACAGATGTACGTAAGGTATGAGGTAAAGAAATTTTAAAAATACAAAACTGGTATAAAACACAGTAGATAAAAGCAAACCAATAATTTTGGGGGGAATGTAAAAGGAAGGAAGTTGAAAAGAAGTTGAAAAGTTGAAAGAAAAAGTTGAAGAAAGAAAAAATATATGTTTACAATATACAACATACGAGACTGAAGCTGGTGTATGCAGCACAGCTGTGAAGAATCTACTTCAAAAAAAGTTATACAATATAAACAATTTAATGATCAGAATTCTGCAGCAAAATGACTACCAGAACTACAGGGAAGAATTATAGGAACTTGAGCTACAGAAATTTATAGATAGAAGAGAGAGAAAGGAGACATGATAAAGACAAATTAGATAATGTATATGATGGAGAAGCTAGAGAGGGACGAGACCCCTATGATCAGTACTGAACAGAATCAGGTTTTAGATACAGTTGAAACAATAAGAAAGCCACAAATACTCTTTTACAAATAGCAGACGAACAGAATGTACTACAGGATTCAGTAGTCACTTCTAAAGTGACACAGCAGTCATAGTACAAGATAAGATGTGTTGACCAGACCACACACTAGAAGGTGAAGGGACGACGACGTTTCGGTCCGTCCTGGACCATTCTCAAGTCAACAATCTACTTGAGAATGGTCCAGGACGGATCGAAACGTCGTCGTCCCTTCACCTTCTAGTGTGTGGTCTGGTCAACATACTTTAGCCACGTTATTGTGACTCATCGTCTGCAAGATAAGGTGTGTAAAGATGGGTCACCACTACTACAGATAATCCTGAAATAATACTTAAGTAAATTACACCCTCCCTGCTCCTGTGCCTGTCTAACACTATATAGCTTTTACTCTAAAATCTCTAAGTTCTTACCAAATTGTAACATTATAAAAACATCACATTCTTAGTTGCAATTGCAGGCGATGAGTCACAATAACGTGGCTAAAGTATGTTGACCAGACCCCACACTAGAAGGTGAAGGGATGATGACGTTTCGGTCCGTCCTGAACCATGGAGAATGGTCCAGGACGGACCGAAACGTCGTCATCCCTTCACCTAGTGTGTGGTCTGGTCAACTTAGTTGCAATTATTTGAACTTATTTTATCGAGGGGGGTATACTACTTATAGGGGGGGTATACTGCTTATTATATAAATATTATAAGGAGAGTAACTATAGAATTATGAATTTAGGCCCAATATTTCAAGCATGACCCACCTATCTCTGCTCAAGTTGAAGTCAGTGTTCGGGGTAGCATGAAGGTGGCGTTCATACCGCATCACGTTGTGCTGCGATGGCTGATATTTGTTACGAAACTTGGAGTGCGAAAACAAAAACCTGTGGAGAGTCATATACACAACTGCTGGTTTTATTCATCTAGACTGTCACATAAAATACTTGTGCATTTAAAATAAGGATGTATATTCAATACCTGTAACAAGATGTATGGCTTCCTTCAGTTCTTCATTGAAGTTTTCTAAATCAAACTGCAATGCTTTAAATACACAGAAGAAAATGTCTAAATTCTTGCTGTTCTACCAATAAACTAACTAAACAAGGTTCCCTGATCAAGAAATACATCTCCAGTTCAGCACATACACGTAGTACCATGATACAGACAGGGGTCGTTAAGTACAGGTTCACTTTACAATCTTAATGAGTAGAGCCATATATAATGAATATATGGGGTATCGTGAGTTCAGACTGCTGTAATGAATACAAGCTGATTGTATGTATGGCACCTTTAGTCTTCACTGGATCTATCCTGCATTTCCTACCATATCTTTCACTGCAATAAGTTGCTATTCTATTTTGCATTTTTGTGATCTGTTCTTCAAGTATTTTACATGCATATGTGACATCTCTCGTTTCTTTTCCATAGATTTCATTCCAAGTGCTTCGAGACAGTCCCGTTATTTTAGGAGAGTTACTGCAGGTATGTCTGTATATTCCCCATACTCCCTCTTTTTTCAGATATTTCTTCTACATGCGAAGGGGAGGTGACTATCGAACAGTATTTAATGCAGGAGAGTACAAGTGACTTGAAAAATAGGAGTATTGTTGAGGCATCCCATAATTTAGAAGAATCTTTTACTTCACCCTTATTATTTTCCCCCGACTGATGCTATGTTTGCCTTATTATGCTCACTGAACATTAGGTCATCCCACATCATTGTTTCGAATTCCTTTATGTCATTTTCCGTCTTGTTAAGATATTTAATTGGGTCTTGTAACCTGAATCCAATTCAAGTCCTTATTTGTTTCCTCTAAATACTGTACCTGGTATTTATCACTACTGTATTGAAAATCATGTTGTCCGTCACCCAGTGAATACATCAACTAGCTTTATTATATTAGCTTGTACAGTATGTACTGCAGTGCACCAGTTGCTCCCAACTGGTGCACTGGTCGTGCACCCCAAAGAGGGTCATGACCCCAAAGAGAGGTCACGAAATGTTTGTGGTGGGGTCACGGGACCTAATTTCTGAGTACAGTACTAGTATATCTGAATCACGTAGAAATAGTAAGTGGCGAGTATCCTGATTAGGAAATTTGTTCAATTAAAGTGGCAGGGAGGGGGGGGAGGTGGGAGGGTTGCAAGTCTTTTGAGTGTCTTAAATAGGACTGTACAAAAAGATTGGGAACCACTGCACTACACTTATGATTCTTGCCAATATTGTTTCTGAAATTAAAATGTGAGGAAGCAGATTTGTTAAGTCATTCTATTATTCCCATTTATTTACATTACTCATATAGAGTTCATTACTGCTGCGGTGTTGTGTCCCCGAGGAGAGTGGCGAGGGTCCAACACTGTTTGGGATGTGCTAGTGAAAGAGGCAAGTAGTGGGGAGTCGGGGGTAATAGGTGGGTGGCCTGATTTGATACCTGGTTGATGGGGTTCTGTGAGTTCTTCTACTCCCCAAGCCCGGCCCAAGGCCAGGCTTGACTTGTGAGAGTTTGGTCCACTACGCTGTTGCTTGGAGCGGCCCGCAGGCCCACGTACCCACCACAGCCCGGTTGGTCCGGCACTCCTTGGAGGAATAAATCTAGTTTCCTCTTGAAGATGTCCACGGTTGTTCCGGCAATATTTCTTATGCTCGCTGGGAGGGTGTTGAGCAACCGTGGACCTCTGATGTTTATACAGTGTTCTCTGATTGTGCCTATGGCACCCCTATGGCACCTCTGCTCTTCACTGGTTCTATTCTGCATTTTCTTCCATATCGTTCACTCCAGTACGTTGTTATTTTACTGTGTAGATTGACATATTGGCGGCATGACATACTAAAAGGACTGAAGAAGAGGCAGAAGTGGCACAAGGTTGAGGGGATGGGGGGTAAGGAGATCAATAACTGCTGTATCTGACACAGTAACAAGGTCATTAGGGTAGCTGGGAAATGAACTCGAGCTGAACTAAGATGGGAGGTAGAATGACATCACGTTACATTTGATACCAGATGCTGCCAATTGTCTATATAGCATGCAGATAATTGTCAAATGCTACCATTTAGTCTGAAGGCTGAAAATAAATATGGTTAATTACACGACATTAAGAAATGTACAAGAATTCTCCAAACAAGACTCAATTCTGCAGTGCATATTCTGAGATACTAATCACAGATTCAAAACCATTGATTACTGTAACAGTATAATTTTGCTATAATTGCAAAACAGAAATGGTTGCAGTGGCAGTGATAACAATTTACAAAATAAACTTAATTGCAATTTTTAAGAAGTATGAGGAAATTGAATCTATAAAAATAATATTAAAATTGTGAAAATATATATACTGTTCATTACTGCTCTAAATAGTATAGTCAAGACATTCACTGTACAAATTTGAAAGGAATATTAAAAAACACAGGAATCACACATTGGAAAGCGAGTTCTGACCCATCATACCACACGTTTAACCACTCACCTTCCTAGAGGGGAGCTGATTGCTATAGAGTCATAGCGAGGGTACATAGGCCCTGGGATTTTTCGGGGAGGGCTGGATGAACTTCTCTTTCTAGGAGACATATATGGTTCAACTCCAGTATGTTTTGCTGGTTGTAGGTTGAAGTATGCAAGGAATGGTACCTGCAAATATTAATTACAGCAATAAAACTTTGCATTTCTTATAATGGAGCTTAGCAAAATTTGTGTATTTTAACTTCCTCGTCAACAGCTTCGACACCTTTGCCAATATTTGTTTTGCCCCACTGCCTGGATAGCTGGTAGACTTTGCATGAAAATCATTCTTTGGTCCTGAGATATGTTATCCAGGAATTTTATGATAATTTTATACTTTATGAATTTTATGATTTATCTGAGATGTTGCAAGCTGGCATGCCATTCCTACACACCCAGAGTTACACACACAGCCTTCTCACAGACCTTTAATTTGTATACACACCTGCACAAGAAATGTAAAACCTATTTTTACCCTTTTAATTTTCAATCCACTCCTGGTCTTAATAACAAATCCTCTTAAACCCTCCTACCACCGACTCATCATTCTGCCACGTACCTCAAAGCTTTTAGCAACCAACCACACAATACAGTACGAGTGTTAGCTATGCCAGTAGCAAACTCTTAACCTCACTGATTACGGAACCACCAGTTAAAGAAAATGCTTTAGTGTCAAATGTCCTCTCCAATAAAGCTTCTCTTTCCAGGTTTGAACTATTGGGCAGGAGATGGCTATTACCTGTCCAGCAGGTTCAGGCTCATCGTCGACCAGGTCAAGCTCTGGCGAGGGAGCAACGGGCGACGATGGCATGTCTCCACGACACTGCTTTTCATGTGTCTGAAAATGCATACAACATTGAAGTTCACATCGAACAGATTAACTTTTTCAGAGTATGAACTCCAATCCACGATGTTACTGAAGTAATAGTTACAGATTTTAATAAAATACAATATTTTTACATTTACATGGGTAATTTAAACATCCACTCATGTACAGTATACATATATTAGTTATAAAGCAGCAACTAATCATTTCTTTTAACTATTCCGATAAAATCAATGTTAATAATGATAACAACGGCAATTGGAATAATAATTGACATTATTATTCTTATCCACTGGCTTACAATTTGTGAGGCTGCACATTAAAGAATACTGTACACAGTAGCACGTGCAGATCTTAGAGTGACTAATCTACTTCCCATGTTGGATGGCCCCGACTGGACCTGGGGCCAGAATCACGAAAGCACTTACGCAAGCACTTACGAACGTGTACATCTTTCCTCAATCTTTGACAGCATTGGTTACATTTATTAAACAGTTTACAAGCATGAAAACTTCCCATTCAACTGTTGTTGTTATAAACAGCCTCCTGGTGCTTCGGAGCTCATTAACTATTTAATAACTGGAAACAAAGCCGCCAAAGATTGAGAAAAGATGTACAGGTTCGCAAGTGCTTGCGTAAGTGCTTTTGTGAATCTGGCCCCTGGTAACTCAACTAGGCATGACTTATATAATGGGGTCCCAACCAGAAACTGTAAACAAACTGGTTCACTAACTGCAAACAAAATATCTAAACTAAATTAATTATTAAGGATACGGTATTGAAAATTAACTGTAATTTTGGACTGTATTGTGGTGTTTATTATCTGGCATATTACCTATAACTCAGTTGTAACATGATTAACTTGATAGGTAACTAACTGATGGATAAGAAATCGGTCATTAATCAAATACAGTACTGTATATTGTCTTCTGATCTAAATAATGAAAAACATTCTGAACCCTTCGGGGTTCATAGAATTTTCAACTACATCTAATACAGTATTTACTTTTTTTGTTTTGCAATAAATATAGAAGTGATGTGTTTAAGTACTGTTGTGGTAATAATCTAACATGCCCTTGCACATACAGAACATTATATTTACACACAACATCAAAAGGTAATGGGACTTTACTGCAGTTCAGTGCTATGCATATTAAAAAAAAATCCATCTTATGCAAAACTTATAAATATATAACTATTTTTTTGTCCCTGGGGTAGCAAGTGCTCTTTTCTATGATGTCTTGAAGGTGTCTGATGGCTGCCGACAAAGCAAAGTTTGAGGGGGAAATAATTAGCCATTTTTCTATACTTTGGAGGTACATACCTGGATAAGCCATTATAAAATAACGCTTACTGCCCGAGGGATACAAACTGTGTTACACCGTGTTCAAGAATGTTGTGCTTCCAGAAATGAACATACACACACAAACTGTAGGAGCTGTACCAAACTGGAAGTCATGTACAGTACTATATATTAGAATTTAAGAATGTAAGCCATATAATGCAATTGTCTAAAAGGAAGGAAGGAAAGTACTAGTACAAGAAAACGCTAGATAAAATGCACATCTTCAATACATGGAGTGAATATTTTTCTCATAATTAAAACTTTGAACAGCACCTGAACTTCTCGCAGACTATAGAATTCACTTTCACATTTGTCGCAGAGGTAAATGTCTGTAGCGGGAGGCTGGAACATCGCTGTAGTGCCGCCACCAGACCCTTTGCGTTCGCCAGTGTGAGGGGAGGGTGATAGAAGCAGCTTCTTCGTGGTGTCTCGACTGCGTCCATGGCTATATTTGTCATAATCCTGGAAAAAAAAATTGAATAATCTGATACATACTTCTAATTTTGATATTCCTGTATTGCTATGTTTGATATATTAATTAACTACTGTACATTATATATCCAGGTGTGCATAAAAGAGATTTGAGAACCAATTAGGTTCAATCACATATAGTGAATTGAACACATGGGATCATAGCTAGTGAGTGGAATAGAGTATGGGTTAAATAACAAAAATTGCTAATTGACTGATCATTAACACCTAATTAAATATGTTTACAAGTAGGATTTTCAAAATCATTCACTATAAACCTACATAACAAATTTTACACAGTATATCATGAAAGCCTGTACCAATTTTTTGTTTTTTTATTACAGTATCACATGGAAACATACCAAAGATGCTATGGAACCATGATAGGAATATGTGAAAAATAGAGTGCAGAATACAACCAACCAATCCTGCAAAATGTGGTATAGTTCCCCTTACCTCACATGATTCCTTTCATACTGATCCCAAATTAAAATTACTGTACTAGGCAGAGAGAGATTTCCATAAAGTATTCGGAGAAGCATCTGGGGAATATTACAGTATTCCCTTAAATGGGCCCACTTGTCAAATTTTTCTGATGCTATTAGAGATCTAAAAGATGAAACAAATGTCGTTACGAGTGAATTCAATCATCTTGATACCTGGTCGAATGGAAAGCTATTTAATAGTCTTGAGATTTCTTGAAGTTATCTTGAGATGATTCTGGGGGCTTTAGTATCCCCGTGACCCGGTCCTCGACCAGGCCTCCACCCCCAGGAAGCAGCCCGTGACAGCTGACTAACTCCCAGGTACCTATTTACTGCTAGGTAACAGGAGCATTAGGGTGAAAAACTCTGCCCATTGTTTCTCGCCGGCGCCCGGGATCGAACCCAGGATCACGAGTCCAGTGTTCTGTCCGCTCAGCCGCCGGCTCTGTCCCTGTCAATGTCTAATTCTGAGTGGATGTGAACTATGGAACCTTATGGTATGATTTGATGCATTTTATATATGGTTTCTGTTTTGATATTTTAATTTTTCAATGGCACAGGAGCTGGAACTTCATTAAATGTTTCTCTTATCTTCAAATTATTTTTCTGTGGGACATTGAAAGACCTAATTTACACCAGTTTTAAGGTTTGCCGAGTCCTCTATATTGTCTACTCTCATAACAATCAGTGTTATCTGCAAAGGCTACAGTACTATAGTTTGTTTCTATTTCCAATATGAGGATGAGAAAAAGTACTAGGGCAAGCACAGTAACTTGGGGAACTGAGCTTTTCACAGTGGATGATATGGATTTTACTTTTGTTGACTATTACACGCCGAGTTCTGATTGTTAGGAAATTAAAGATCCATTTTTCTACTTTGTCAGCAATTCCCTTTGTGCACATTTTGTGTATAATAATGCAATGGTCACATTTGTCAAAAGCTTTAGTGAAATTTGTGTACATTACATCAGCATTTTGTTTGTCTCCCCATGACATCTAAGGCCATGGACATAGTAGTCCAGCAATTGTGAGAGGCAGGAGCGCCCTATTCTGAATCCGTTGTCTAGGGTTAGGTAGGTTTAGTTTAGTTCATTTATTATGCACCCCATACTCGTCTTGTGGGCGGTAGTGGAAAGGGTTACAGAGGCAAATAATGGGCTCAGGGACTGAACCCCACAGTTCATTTAGCTAAGCAAGTTAGGTAGGCACTGTGAATCCGTGTGTTTTGTGTTCTTACTTCTTAACATCATTTCAAAGTTTTTAATGTGTGATATTAGTGCTATCAGGCTAAAATTTGTTTCCTCTACTTTATTTCCTCCTTTGTGAAGTGGCACTATCTCTGCTGTTTTAAGTGTGTCAGAGATAACACCATTATCTAGGCTCCTCCTCCAAATAATGATAAAGGAATGTGATAGTGGTTTTTGCAACTTTTACCAAGAAATGTATTACAAAGATGAGTGTGGTTCCGCCCTGCCTCCCTAACACTGAGATCACAACAAGTCTTCTCGCGTTGCCACAATGGATAAACACCAGTGTGTGTAAAATACGCAAACCCAAGCCACTGGCTTAACCTAACTGACCTAACACCGGGCGGGTTATCTTCGAGTGACGGCGGAAGCGTCAACACCAAATCAAGGGCCAACCCTCCCACCCCGTCAGTATAACAACAAATCAACAGCTGACTTATCAGCTGATATGACAGGCAAGGGAAGTGATATCTGGACCAAACAAGTACAGAACTGACTTCACGAGACTCAACCTTCAATCCCGTTGATACGCGCACACTAACATTCCAAGCATATGTAGTCTAAGAAAGGACACCAAGGTCTTCTGTATTATAAATTCAAATATCCATTTTAAGCAAATATGAAATAAGGTTTGCAGCTGAAAAAATAATATATGTGAATTTCATTCAACATATTCTGGTGAAGGAGTACAGTAATCATACCCACACATCACAATAACGTGATATTGTCCGTGTGTAGGTTCGAACCCTCATCACGGCCCTTGTGGAGTTGTACAGTAATCATAGCTGGGTGGAGTCTCAAGTGGAACAAGCTGAAGCTCTTCCTCGTCCTCACTCCCCTTTTCATAAAAAAGAAGGCTGTGTAGGGGAAGTGGGAAGACAGTAAGCCTGGAAACTATGTGGTGGGAGTGGGCCGTGGTGGGAGTGGGGCATGGTGGTGGTGGTGGGAGTGGGGCATGGTGGTGGTGGTGGTGGTGGTGGTGGGCGTGGGGCATGGTGGTGGTCCACACCGAGACACGTGCAGTGGAACAAGCAATGAGGCACCCACTGGCAGCAAGATGTAATCCATTGACCACTACGAATTCTTCCATGAAGGAGACAGTACAAGCAGGAGAGCGTACAAATTAGGAACCAAAGAGCAGAAGCAGAACCCCTCCAGCAAGAGCAATTAGCAGAGTACGTCCCCACTGGGGGAATATCTCATAAATGGTTTACGGGCTCACCATAGCCGGTGCTACATGGACACTTCGTTCTGAGTAGCTAAATCTGAAACATCATAAATGGTCATAAAGGCATGGAAAGTGGAGGCAATTGACCGCACTCGTCAATTCACATCGGCTTACTTCCCATTTTCAAGTAGTTGTTAACACCTAACACCCAAACTCCTACAAATATTGAAAGACAAAACTTGCTCCTTCCCAAATCAACTTTCCCGCGCAATGATGTCAAGTGGTATAAGGGTCGTACGTCAGCGGGTGAGGCCCGGATGTCAGTGGGTAAGGGGGCGGATGTCAGTGGGTAAGGGGGCGGATGTCAGTGGGTAAGGGGGCGGATGTCACTGGGCAAGGGCCCGGATGTCACTGGGCAAGGGCCCGGATGTCACTGGGCAAGGGCCCGGATGTCAGTGGGAAGGGCCCGGATGTCAGTGGGTGCGGGCCCGGATGCCAGCGAACCCCGGGAAAGACCCCAACGTGAGGGTCGGTGAGGCCCGGATGTCAATGAGTAAGGGGGCGGATGTCAGCGGACCCCGGGAAAGACCCCAACGTGCGGGCGGGTCTTTGTTCCCATAACCCGCCGCCCTCCGCCCACCACGGGAGCATTCTCCCTACACGCCCCTCTACCTTAAACCACCTTCACAACTCTACTTACAAACCATTCACTATTGACATTAATCTTAAATTGAGTATCACGCGCCGAGAACAACAAATGTCTTTGACCAAATGTGAAGCGACGGGCTCTTCAAGTCTTTAATTAATTAAACGCACACTAAAAATTTCCCGGAGGTTGAATGCGCCAGAACAGAGGAAGAAGAAGGGAACAAAGCCAATTTCCCCTCAAAGTTCTCCCCCGAAATCCCGTTTTCTATTGTTAATAACCTTTTGTCCATTTAATTTTTGAACAATTATTAGATTAGATTGGAGACTTTATTCGTAGATTGGATTTATTAGATTAGATTGGAAACTTTATTCGTAGCCACTTATAACAAATGTTACTGAGTAAATCAGGCTTGAATCTTTAGACATAAAACACAGTTAACATACAATTTGAGCGGTGTAAAGTACTGACAATAGTTGTACTGAAACACACATAGTAGGCAGTAGAATAATCTACAACAAAAAATTGTTTACTATACACTAGCTTCACAACATTGTCACTTGCCTAGCTAAATGAACTATGGGGTTCAGTTTCTGAATCCATTACATGCCTTTGTAACCCTTGTAACCCCGTGTCAGGCGCACCTATACACCAGATGTCACCCCATCTGTGACATGATACGTGTGGTGTCTGCCACTCCAGACCGACAAGCAGAGTGCAACTCCATAGTCTCCTGAGACTTGTATATACCTACTACAACAGGCTAAAACGCCTCTAAGTTCACATCCATAACATACCTGTCATTTAAAAGTCAACGACCTCAGGCTCTCAAAATCATTTGGGGTGGAGGTGGGAGAGAGGGGCTGGGAGAGTGGGGAGAAGGGGGAGGAGAGAAGGGGAAGGGGGAGGAGAGAGGGGGGAGGAGATAGAAAAGGAGGGGAAGGAGGGGATAAAGGAGGGAAGAGGGGAGGAAAAATAGGAGTGGAATGCAGGGGAGGGGGGGGGGTGTTGGAGGCGAGATTACCCCGGGCACCCCTCTTAATATATCTATAAGAGAGAATGTCTGTCTGTCTGTCCAAAAGTTGAAGGCCAGATGTTTAGGGCTAGCCTCACTCAAATCCGCAGGGGGGATAATGGCCTGGGATATGGGACGAATATAGGCTGGTAAAGGTTCGCCCAAGTTAAATGTTTTAAGAAATATTACATTGTACAGAGATCCCCCATGTTATTTTCACAGTCAACGTGTGAAATACTTGCAAGGTTTTACCAAGAGTTCTTAGTAAGAATAATAAAATAATAATAATATTATTATTAAGATGTTGGAGGCGTCTGGCCTCCAACCTAGAGATGGTTCCCAGAATTAACGCTCACGAGGGCAGACTTCTTTCTGAACAAATCCACAAGGGCCGTGACGAGGATTCGAACCTGCATCCGGTTCGTCCGTC